CATCTCTACTGCTACAGCTATAGTTCCCACCACCATGGATAATCCTGCTTGCCAAATCCTTCAGTGACTTCCTGTAACACTCGGTCTGACGCTGAACTCTTTACTATGGTCTACAAGTCCTACAGGTTCTGGCCACTGTCCATTTCTGTGACTTTCTCTTGAGATATCTCATCATAGCTACCCCAGTTCTGTCCTCCTGCTTATACCTCAACATAAAGCCAAATGTGTTTCCATCTTAATTTTGGTTCTGGCAAAGTTGGGTGAATGGTCTCATGGGGAGATACAGAAGCCTGAGAGGGAGCAGATTTGTGAGAGGAAGGTAGAAAATGAAGAATATATTCTGGCCATTAAATTTGAGATTCCTATTACATATCAAAGTAGAAATGTTGAGTAAACAGGTAGATGTGGGAGTCTAGAGCTCAAATGAAAGGTCACAAGGATGTAAATTTGGAAAGTAACTACTTTTTCCTACAGTCATTATAAGTAAAAAGTTTTCTCTATGCTGTACGTTTTCCTGTTGTTGCTTTATTGCTTTGGAAGGACGGTACATATTGATCTGGCAGTCCAACATCTCTCATAATCCTGGACTGCTGGCTCCTAATCACTCACCTGCCTGCCTTTCTGGTTGCCCCTAACTGCTCCCTCTGCCTGTCTAATCCCTCCTAACTGCCCCCCTGCCAGCCTGGTCACACCAACTGTCTCCTCCCCACCCCCACCCCCGCCAGCCCGGTCAGTTGGTCATCCCTAACCCCTCCGCTGGCCTGGTTGCCCCACACAGCCTGCTTGTTCAGTTGTTTTGTTCTTCACTAACCCCCTGCCGGCCTGGTCGTAGGCAGCCATCTTGTGAGGGCATTAGGGCATATTACCTCTTTATTATATAGGATTGAATTATCTTAATCATTTTATGGCTTTTCAGATTATTCTATTTGCAGAATAGAACTGGCCCTTCTATTTGCATCTGCTAACTTTTCCTGCTGTCGGTAGTGTGTATATGTACATTTAATCTTAGAACCTTTCCCCCTGTGAATTCTACCAGAGTCCGAGTTGATTTTAAAAAAAAATATATTTTATTGATTTTATACAGAGAGGAAGGGAGAGAGATAGCAGTTAGAAACATCGATGAGAGAGAGTCATCGATCAGCTGCCTCTTGCACAACCCCTACTGGGGATATGCCCGCAACCAAGGTACATGCCCTTGACCGGAATCAAACCCGGGTCCCTTCAGTCCCCAAGCCGACGCTCTATCCACTGAGCCAAACCGGTTTCGGCGATTTTGTTATTTTTTTGATTTGTGGTTTCACAGTATATACTCAACCTTAAACTTACCTGTGGTGCAGGCCCTAGATTGACTTCTCATGGATAACTTTATTTCTGGGCTCCTGGATGAGTTGTGCTAGTCCTGTTTGAATACATGAGCTCTTTGTGACTTTATGGAGGGGATTAAATCATAGCTCCATTTTCTCCTGTAATCCTGAAACCAAGTCTTTTGTCCCTACACAGATAATAGGATCTCAGAACTTCATTGGCTTGAGGAAATCTACCAGACTAAGAACGTTTTTGAATTGGGGAGCAGTTTCTGTTCCCTTAGCAATAATGGCTGCTAGATTTGTGTAAATAATAAACATTTTCTATTAATTGGCGTAACTCAAGTTTTTATTGTTGTTTTATTGTACGTTGAGTGCTCTGGCATTTGATAATAGATTTTTCAGCAATTGATTTCATTTTACAGCTTATAGATGCCAACATAGATTCTGAAAAATTGAGGTCTCTTAACCAGGGAGATGATTATATTGGGATTTTCTGGAACGGATGTGATAAGAGTGCTTATTACTATAATTTCCAATCTACTGCTAGAGGCAAAATTGGGGAAACTATTAAGTGGTCACATTCTCATACAGCTTCACTGAAGTATTTACTTTGAATAAGCTTATATAATCATTTAAAAGGTATAAAATTATACTATACTGGGTCAATCAGTCCAACATCAGAGACTTTCACCCTTGTTATAAGCAGCTCCTGTTGAAACACTAGAATCTTTTTTTTTGACAAATATTTATGAATATATATAACAAAAACTCAATAAGTCAGTTAATTGAGATGAGATTTAATTTTGTGTAACTCAAAAGATTATTTTAAAATTTTGAGTTTAGAGAAAGGAAGTGAGGTGGAGGGAGAGAGAAACTTCAATCAGCTGCCTCCCACACAGGATTCAAACCCACAACCTGGGTATGTGCCCGACTAGAATCGAACCTGCCACTTTTTGGTGTACAGGACAATGCTCTAATGAACTGAGCCATATTGCCAGGGCAAGGATATTATTTTTTTAAATATATTTTAATTGATTTCAGAGAGGAAGAGAAAGGTAGAAACATCAATGAGAGAGATGTTTTCCAGTGCTATGTACAATGGATGTTCCAGAAAATCCCAATATAATCGTCTCCCTGGTTAAAAGACCTCAATTTTTCAGAGTCTATGCTGTCTTCAATAAGCTGTAAAATGAAATCGATTGCTAAAAAATCTATTATCAAATGCCAGAGCACTCAATGTACAATAAAACAACAACAAAAACTTGAGTTACGCCAATTAATAGAAAATGTTTTTTACTATTTACACAAATCACTGCTTTCTGCATGCCCCTTATTAGAGAATCGAGCTGGCAACCTGGGCATGTGCCCTTGACCAGAATTAAATCCAGGACCCTTCAGTCTGCAAACCTATGCTCTAGCCAAACCATCTAGGGCGACTTTAATGTTATAGTCACACTGTCTTCCTCTTACTTTTGACACTTAGAGGCAATCACTATTATCATTATTGTGTCTGTACTATATACTAGAAATATTCTTTTTTTTTAAATATATATTTTATTGAGTTTTTACAGAGAGGAAGAGAGAGGGATAGAAAGAGAAAGTTAGGAACATCGATGAGAATCATCGATCAGCTGCCTCCGTCACACCCCCTACTGGGGATGTGCCCGCAACCAAGGTACATGCCCTTGACTGGAATCGAACCTGGGATCTTTGAGTCCGCAGGCTGACGCTCTATCCACTGAGCCAAACCAGTTTCGGCTATTCTTCTCTTTTAAAATTTAAACTGCCTTGTCCAGCTGGAGTGGATCAGTGGTTGAGGATCTCTATGAACCAGGAGATCAGCGTTTGGTTCCCAGTTAGGGCACAGGGCACATGCCCAGGTTGCTGGATCACCACTGTGGGGTGTGGGGAAGGCAACAGATCATTACTGATGTTTTAAACTGCCTACACATCTGACTTCCAGCTTTGCCCTTCCAATTTGGAAACAACTTCAACATGTATGTTGTGAATTCTCTTCCTATTTCTTTAATGATATATTGCTCCCTCCATAATCTTAGAAAAATATTACTCTGAGCTATGCTCAATAGCTGGCTTATGGAAATAGCATATAAAAACAATTCAAGTATACTGGCTTAGCTACCCAGTGCTATGTACAATGGATGTCCTTTTTTTTTTTTTTTTTTGCAATTTGAATATAAACTATAAACAATAATTAAATAATCATTTAATTATTTGTATGTATGAACTAATCATTTTATTATTTTGCTTTTTAAATAATCATTTTGTACAAATAATACACATAGTTGCATATATATATTACAGTTTCAATTTATTATTATTTATTATTCTTTTGTGGAATGCTAGGTTTAATGTTACAGTATGGTTGTCAAAGCTACTGAAATGTGACAAATGTCCATGTCTAAAAGCTGCACAGTATTAGTAATGATTTTTAACAGAACGGTTATTTTACAGCTGAGGTCTGATGGTTTTTAAACCGATGCCTATGTGTATAACCAGCACAAACCCTGGGGGTGTTTATTACCTGTACATGTATATACAAATATATCCCTTACATATATATATGCACATAGGCATGTATTAATTTATGTGTGAAATTTATAAAATCATATACATACACATAAATGCACATCTATATACATGTACCCACCCTCACCAGTGAGATCACTTTCCTAACACTAATCAACTTCAGGACAGTTATTATTGCTGCCCAGTATAACTACATGATTTTAGTACCAAGCACCTTTTCAGATGCAGGACAGGTGTATGTCTGTGCATATAGGTATGTATGTTTGTGTAGAGAAAAGTCATTTCTTTTTATGCTTCAGTCATGCATTACTTCAATAAACAGTCTTATCACCATAGGTTTTAGAATTCTAAAGAGTGTAAAATTTACTTCTGGAAAACTGTATATGTTCATAGTTACAAAAAATATATTATACATATATATGATTGAAACCTATTGTGTATATATATGTTCTCTGAATTGGCTATATCCTAGCCATTAGATAAATTAAAAACAAACACCCTCTTAATAGGATGTTATTATGATAGCTTTAAATAGCCCATTACCTGTATTTCGAATAGTTGATATTTTAAAAGATGACAAACTGATGTTAAAGATTTGAAAAACACTATGCATCGGCATTAAATATACAATGGTTTCACCAAGGGCATGGTTCAATTCATTGTCTAAGATTTCCATATTCTAAAAGTGACCATTATAGTCATTATTTCTAAAATTATGGCTCATTAAGGCTTTTATGAAAAAAAGCCCTATTTTTAAAAACAAGTTCTATTTAAACGAAAAAATGTACATGAACACTAAAGTACTTTTGGATATTTATTCTGTACAAAGTGTCTATTAAAATAGGAGGCTCGTTCCCAGTAAGAACACCTCACGGTAGCACATGTAAACCTGGTTTGGTTCCTCTGCTCTGCAGCTATTCAGCATGTAAAATTTATACCATTTCACATTAACATTTAAATTTAATACAGTGCAAATATTTGAGAATAACTTGTTCCCCCCAGTGAAACAAGAGACAGCATTATGCTGAATATTCTTCAGATCTATTTACACACTGAGCTAAAAGTTCACCATAAACTTTGAAATTTGCTGAATATCAGCAGAAATGTAACCGAACTAGCAGCAATTGCATTAACAATATTTGATAGTTACTTGAGAGAATGCATAAAATTTTCCAAGCTGTACTCTGAGTCATATTGCTCTTGATCCCAAAGATCACTCAGGTTTTCAAGAATTGATTTCATATTTGCTTTTCCAGAAGTAGAGGTGTCAGCTTTTTCTGCTTTGCCATCCTTAAGAAAAATGGGCAGAAAGATCATTAACTTCAAAAATTATATTTTCCTTTTAAAATACCATACTTGTTTCTAACACTGGTCTTACTCAACAGAGTTAAAAAAATAGTTCAAGTGATGGTAAAGTTCATCTCATATTTTCCCAGAGGCCTAACTTGTCATCTCTCCCCCAGACATATAATCAGTTTTTTACCCAAACCATTCAAGAGGAAGTTGTAGATATCAAGCCCCTTTATCCCTAGAAAGAAATAAGCACGTATTCCTAAGAACAAGGACATCCTCTTAACATAACTAAAGTACAAAGATCAAATTAAGAAAATTTAATACAGTCTATATTCAAATCTTCCCAACTGTCCCAATAAGATCCTTTATAGCAATAGTTCTTGCTTCCCTGGAACATCCCCAAGTCCAGTTCTGCCTTCAAATAACTATAAGGATAGTTTTTGAAGGCAGCAATTCATATTTCTTTCAGCTTTTTTCCTAGCTTACACATGTCTTGTTTTTAACCTTTTATGATATGATTAAAGAACCTTCCTCCATTCTGATCATCTTTTGGGGACTTATTGTTTAAAATGCAGCACCCAGAAACAGACATAATATTTAAATGTGGCTGAATACAACACAGTACAGGGGAACTGCTTTCTCTCAGATTTGGATATTACAATTCTGTTATTACAGCTAGTTTAATTACATTATCTAGGGCCACTTCTCACTATAATTTATACTGGGTGTACAGCTGATTTTCTAAACCTAGGCAGGACTTTAAATCCAACCATATTAGTTTTACATTTAGATTGACCAGTATTTCCAGATGGGGTATACTTTGATTATGGATATTAGTTTCATCATCCACAATAACAATAATGGCTATTATGTACTGAGAATCTGTACTAGATACCCTTTCTAAGTGCTTACATATATTCATAACCATGTGGTAATATAGGCACTGTTATTCTCCCAAGGGCGTAGAACCTCAAAGAAGTTAATTGGCAGGGCAAGAAACACAGACCCAGGTTTAGCTGACTTTAGTGACAGATGTCCACTAGCAGGAAAGGACCAATGAAAGAAATCTTGGGGCAAGACACTGGAGACTTTAATCAAAACTTCAAACATCCCCAAGAATTCTGGCTAGTTTTATCTGGATGTCAAAAATCTCCTCAAAAAATTGTCTAGTTGCTACTATTCCTACTAACGTGAATGCCTTTTGCTAGTTCCTTCAATACTTTTACCACGCATCCCTAGGAAGTCTGTGCATGCATTAAAGATAGGGAAAATTGGCCCTAACCAGCTGGTCAGCGGTTAGAGTACTGGCCCGTGGACGGAAGGGTCACAGGTTTGCTTCCAGTAAAGGGTATGTATCTCGGGTGCAGGCTTGATTCCTGGCCCCCAGTGTCAAGGTGTGTGCAGAAGGCAACCAACCAACCAATCAATCAATGTGTCTCTCTCATATCGATGTTTCCCCCCTCCTTTCCTCTCACTCTAAAAAAAAAAATAAATAAATAAAAAAAATCAGTGTTAAAAATATCCTATTAATAACAAAAAAAGAGCAAATTGTGTTAAGTTCTTTACCTTATCAAGTGTGAATAGATCGAGAAGTTGATCTGTTCCCATACTCTGCAAACTAGAATTCTCTTGGCTAATAACTGTATTCGCTATGTTCATCTTGAATTTCTGCAAACCCATTATTTTCTCCTCCAGTGTTCCTCTGGTTATCAATCGGTACACGTTTACCACACGTTTCTGAATAAGAAAAAGTTAAACACAAATAAAATGATTGGTTTGAGGTTAACCAAGTCAAGGACTTAGATATTTAACTAATCTAATTGTAGTGGGGTTTTCTTTATCTGGTCCCATGAGTTTAAAATGTTTGCATAGAATCACAGAATATTAGTGATGGATAGTGGCCCAGTTTTCTTAGCCTAAGCCACCTTATTTAATGCATGAGGAAGTGGTGCCTTGCCTAAGGTCAAACATTTGTTAATATCAGGGGTAGAAACTTAAACCAATTCCTTAAACCAATTCCTGTCTTTTCTGAGAAGCATTTTTCCCAGTTCACAAGTAAATGCCTGTGAGTGGTGACTCTTTACCTGCCCAATGCGATGGGCCCGGTCCATGGCTTGTAGATCGCGCATGGGATTCCAGTCGTGCTCCACAAATACCACTGTGTCAGCGCCTGTTAAGTTAAGCCCCAGGCCACCAACGTGAGTTGTAAGTAAGAGAACATCTATGGACGGATCATTGTTAAACCTAAAAGTATAGATATTTTAAAATAAAATTAGTACATTTCTTTCTAAGGTACCCATATAACAGAAATTAGACTATTTAATGAAAATTACATAACACAAATGAGAACACTTCTTTACAAATCCATAATATAGACACTTCTGTGACCACTTGAGATCAAACTATTTTTAGTATTTAGGGTAGGGCAAAAGTAGGTTTACAGGTTTTTGTATGAAAATAATACAAGGATAAATTGTTTCACATATTCATGACTATTAACCTACGTTTGCCCCACCCTGTACACAATAACCTCTTTAGTAGCAGAAAGAATGGGACAAGTCAGAAAATTTACAAACAGAAATAAGTCCAACTAGATTATATTTTAGAGAATTAAAGATTAAATTGAAAAAATGTAACTTAACACTAATTCTAATTAAGACAAAACTCAACTATGAAACTTTAACGTATAGAAACAGAAGATAATGGGGGAAAAGGCTAGATCAGTCAGGGAAGGTAGAGGGTAAGGGTATTGAGGGTTGCTGATATGTATATCCATCTATCTATACACACACACACACACACACACACACACACACACAAAAGGCTAGTATACAAAGTGTCCCCTTGGGAGTTTGGGAGTTCGATCACTTGCTATGATGTGCGCTGACCACCAGGGAGTGGCGCAGAATGAAGGAAGGCCCCAGCAGGCTTTGATAGCCTACAAGGCCTAGGGACCCTACTCATGCAGTAATTTCCTGCACCGGGCCTCTAGTATATTGATAAAGGACATCTAGTAACTTCTAGGAAAAAGAACTAACATTACCAAGCTCACATTTATTAGATTTCATTATGATTCAAGCAATGGGGATTTGTGCTTTATATGCACTATGTTACTTCAATGTTACAATAGCTCTATGAAGATGATATCATTGTCCTTATTCTAGAGAAACTCCAGCTCTGTAGATGCTAATCATGCCCAAGATAACACTGCCTAAATAGCAGTCAGGAGTCAAACCTGGGTCTGTCTGCAAAGCTTGATCATGGGTCTTTAATTGTATCATGCTTAACAATCTCTTAAGGGTGCTTATTTAAAATGCTTCCTCTTGAAGTTACAAGTCTGGGACAGAACCTAGGAATCTATTGATTTCTAAACAGAGGGTGAAGGCCACACTTAGGAAACGCTGCATTCATTGATTTTGCTTCCCAGCGTCCAACTTGTTCTGGGCAGAGGCACAGAGATCAAGATACATATCTCAGTTAAGCCACATTTTTTGCTGTTTCTGACCCCAAAAAGGTGAGGTAAAATGTTATCTCTATAGTTTGTTGATGCCTTAAATTTCTTTCTACCTTTCAAGGTGCTATCCTAATATAGCCATACTTTTTTAGCTAAACAAACTACTTATTCAACTGTATTTCTATATATTTTTGGTTTTTTAAAAAAAATCTTTTCTCCCCCTCTAATTTGTTTTTTAGTTCTATATTTTTAAAGAAAATACTTCACGAGGTAAACTCCTATGTAAGGGATAAGACACTGACTACAGCCATGATTTACAGGAGTTTTAGAAGCCACTCACCGTGAAACAATGGCATGCCTCTGACCCGGAGGGATGCTTCCATCTAATCTCAGGTAAGTGACAGAGGGTAAGTGAGGCTTGAGAAGATCATGCTCTACTATATCAAGCATGCTTTTTAGCTGGCAGAAGATCAGGATCCTGTGCTGGGCCACAACAGACTCTGTGCCACTCTCTGAAGTGCTGCCATTTCCCAAACCACAATCCAACAGCAACTAGAAAAACATCAGTTGTTACACAGGCATTCAATAAAAGTAGGCAACCAATAGTTTTTCAAGTTATACTTCATATAAAATGGTTCCTAGATTATTTATGGTTATAATAAATAATGGCCCCAAATTATAAATAATTATACAGTGAAACTAGGATGTCCTCATTTTGGCCATTATACTGCTTTAACCACCAAGATCATATTAACTTTATTTACCGGCAACTAATTCACATAGTAGCTTTGTAGTGAACTTACCATCAAATCAAATTCAACTTTGCCCTATATAAAATGTTTGCCAAGTCTGACAGGATCTATATTTAACTAAGTGTTTTCTTTTAAAAACTGATTCTGCTTATCACCTTTAAATGTCACCTGGAGTTTCAGTTCATTCCATTCTACTGAAATTTTAAAATTCTGTCTCTGGCACTATTATCTGCTGATAAACATATTTCTATTGGCAGATTTTTGAAACACAAAATTTCTCCTACCTCAGAAAATAGACATTTTTTAAAAGAAAGTGAGCTAGTCCTCTCCTGATATAGAACCTTTTATTTAAAAAGCTATACCAAAATTTAAATTAAAAATAAAAATGGTAAATATATCAGTAATCTATTGGAAATGCAAATTTACCTAGTGTTATAGATCAGGAATGTTCACACGTCTAACCCTTAAAAGACCTACTTACTTGTTTCAGAGCTGAGAGTTTGGGGGCATGCTGAATATCATGAAGTGAAGAATTCTGAGCGGCCAGTTTTTCAGTAGTACTCTTGTACTCTGGGTGTTGAGGTGTTAAGACTAATGCTGGATGGTTGCACAGTTTACGTAAGTACTGTAACGCCTTTAAAAGAGGAAAAAGTACATCCTATATAATAAAAGTGTAATATACAGATTGAACAAACAGTGCAATGACTGGTTGGTGGGGGGCCGGATTCACTGAGCAGGCGGCACCACGGCACCAGGCCAGCCAAGACACCGCCAGTCAGACAGCCCCTGAGGCTCCCAGACTGTGAGAGGCTGCAGGCTGGGCTGAGGGACTTCCCCGAGTGCGTGAATTTCATGCACCAGGCCTCTAGTACACAGATAAGACCACTTCACATGTCACAAATGTTTGTACTTCAGTATCTTTTCTGTCTAGAATGCCCTTTTCTCTCTCTCTTGACTACCTTACTCCTTCAAGAACCAGTTCAAATCTCATCTGTGATGCCTTCATCTGTAGGCAGTTTGTATTTATTTTTTAGAGCCTTAATAGCTTGTATCAATCATACTGTTTGTTTGTATCCCCCATTAGACAATGAGCTTCTCATGGCAGAAAGAGGCTTATTCATTAGCTCCTATACCCAATCCCTTTCCCACTCAAATGCCTCATAATGCTTACAGATGCCTCTGGCACCAGCATCATTTCCCAAAGGGTTACTCAAACATCAGTGTGTATAACATGTCTTGAGGACCTGATAAATCTGCAAATCTTTCCCCTCTACATAGTATTCTGCTTCAGTAGGTCTGTGGTGAGGGTTGGGGAGCTAGGTGGTTATTTCTAGTGGTTGTGTTTAAGAATCAGAACCCTATAAAATCTCTTCTTTCTTTTCTCTAATTCAGCCACAAACTTTCTCTTTTGCTTGGGCTATTATTTGTGTCTCACCCTTTGCCCTGGAAATTTATATTAGCAAGATTCACTGCCAAGGCTCAAGAGATGACTGGGCACCATGATAGAAACTGTGGAAGAGTTATTAGCCTTTACAACCACCTTTTCCCTCTTCTATCTTTAAAAATGCCTGCAGCATTTAATTTATTGGTGGCAAGGGGGTTTGGGAGGTTTTCTATAGGGAAAATAAGTGAGTTGACACTTTACATGTCTTTTTCATTTGCTACCCCCGTGAGCATAATAGGCATGATATCTTAGGACTTCTGTAGTTTTTGTATCCTCTGCCCAGAATCACTTCCCTTTACATAACTGCCATGCCTCAATCCTCCTTCAGATCCCTGCTAAAATGTCACTTTCTCAGGCCATCCCTGATTCCTCAATTAAAAATCAAAACCGGTTTGGCTCAGTGGATAGTGTGTCAGCATGTGGACTGAAGGGTCCCAGGTTCGATCCCGGTCAAGGGCATGTGCCTTGGTTGTGGGCACATCCCCAGTGGGGGTGTGCAGGAGGCAGCTGATTGATGTATCTCTCTCATCAAGGTTTCTAACTATCTCTCTCCCTTCCTCTCTGTAAAAATCAATAAAATACATTAAAAAAAAAAAATCACAACCTATCCTGACTCCTATATTGTATAATCCCACACTCTTATTCTCTTACATGAATTTTATGTATTCATTTTTCATATTTACAAGAAAGGCCGTCTATTTTGCTTACTGCTTTAATTAATTGGTGCCTAGAAAAATTATTGCCTCATGGTAGGTGTTCCAGTATTTTTTAAATGGAAAGCAAAAGATTCTCTATTCTAAAACCCTTTAAATATGTAATAAACAATGTAGATTAATATTAAAATTAAACTTAAAATACAATCTACTTATTAATACGAAAATAGATTGGCACTTTCCCCTATTTTCAAGAATGTATACTCAGTATTTAAAATTTTAAAACCCACATTTCATTGTTCCATGTAAAATTTGCTGCACTGAAGAACACATTTAGGCAACATTTAAAAAGAAAAAGTAGATTGTAATCGATACCTGGAATACATGGCCTGTAGCTTTAAGCTTTGGTTTTTCAGTCTCTTCAGAAAGTGCAGCTGAAGAAACTGTTTCATCAACATCACACTTGGCACGAGACTTGGCAAAGTCCTCATAGAGCTGGACCTGTAAAATTTCCCCCACAAATGAAGTATACTGATTTTCAATTGTTGAAAAAATAACTAAGATAGCAAAGGCCAATCAGACCAGTAATTCAAATCAACTCTCATTAAAGAAAAATAAATTATGATACCTGTACTTTGCTACTGATTAGATAATTCATCTTGGTAAATTCCTTTAAAATTACATTTAGAAAACAAGTATAACACATTACGTTTGGCTGCTAAAATATTAAAACAGTAGTCAAACAGTCCTACACTTAATTTTCCACTCTGTTCGGAAGATAAATATACCACTAAAAGAGAATCTGAACTCTTACAAGTAAATGAGAAAATCTCCCTTAAGTGAAGTTTTGTGATCAAGACTAAAAGTACATTCCAAGAGTCCAACTTTTAAAAGAATATTGCTGCCTAAAAGGCAATATCACTTCCTTCCCCAGCTCCCTGCCTCCAGTCTACTTAATTTTATGGTGGGATTTTAATACTATCACCAGTATGTCATTACAGCCTTTTTTCACATGGCACCTTTTCTTTATTGCATTTTTAAAAATCTTCATCCCATACAATATTTAAGAAACATTAACCCTATAAGGAATGAAGCCCAGAGAGATAGGGTAGATAATATAAATGATCACAGAATTCCTAGTATATATCTATGCAACTAAAGTTTAGATGCTAACAGGCTGTCAACATACAGGGGAAAGTTTGTAGGATGTTTCTATATATCTTATTCATTTGATCAACTCATACTACTAAATAGATTAATGAATAGTAACCTAGAACATAAAGAACATATTCAAACAAAAAATCCTGATTAGTAAGTGTCTTCATAAGACATAGCCTGTAAGGGGCAATTTACCCTTACAAAACATTACACAAGGAAAGGCATCCAGTACATTCCTTTGATAATGGTTTCTGTGTACAAAATCAGACTTGCACAGAAGTCAAAATTTATTTCAGAAATTTACTGGTAATGCAATTATACTTTAAAAGGGATGTGATCCCTACTTCCCAAAGTTTGAAACTCAAACCTGATATACAATTTTGAGCAAGTAGCTTAACTTTCTGAGCTTCGGTTTTCCTTATTTATAAAAATGGGAACTGACGTATGATACCTATAGTGTTATATAAGTGAGAATAAGGCACTATAGGCAAATTTTTGGCACTTATACACATTTCTTCATCAGTTTAACCTTGCAACCTTTTCAATTAACTAGACATGAGAAAGCAACTATGATACTGAATTTTGCATGTTAATGCAAAATGCACTTATCCAAATATATCCACATATATAAACAGATTCACTCAGTGTCTTATCTACATGTATTTAAAACAGAATATTCTGCCGAATCCGGTTTGGCTCAGTGGATAGAGCATTGGCCTGTGGACTGAAGGGTCCCAGGTTCAATTCAGTCAAGGGTATGTACTGTGGTTGCGGGCACATCCCCAGTAGGAGGTGTGCAGGAGGCAGCTGATTAACGTTTCTAACTCATAGATGTTTCTAAATTCCTATCCTTCTCCCTTCCTCTCTATATCAATAAAATATTTTTTAAAAATAAAAATAAAACAATATTCTTCAAGTTTAGCAAAGTAGAAGCTAGATTAGAGAGATAAAGCCAAAGGCTATTCCCCTTTTGTGGCTTATTCAAAGCATTCCACTAATAAACATACCACCACCAACCACAATCACCAGATTCCTAACCTGGAGAGGACTGAGAGTACAGTAATAGTCTTGAATAATTTTGGGTGGAAGGTCTTGTAAAACATCTTCTTTCATTCTTCTCAAAAGAAATGGCAGGACTTGGCGGTGTAGTGCATCCATCGCAAGGACACCTGTTAATAAGAGAAAATGGCTCAAAAAAAGAATAAATTATATTCACTTGCACAGAAAATATAATTCTCTTTTTCATACCTGCTTCTTGTTCTCGACTAGAGCTTCGAGCATCCCTACTTGCTAATATAGGTTTACCATATCGAGCAGCAAACTGGCGTTCAGTCCCCAAAAATCCTGGCATGAGGAAATCAAATAATGACCACAGCTCCAAAACATTGTTCTAAATATAAGAAAGGAATATATTTCAGTTTGTAGTGTGATGATTTATTTACACTTAAAAAATAAAACATTAATTTAAAAAAGCCCCTTATGATGCTATAGATGAGAGATTATCACATTTTTAGATATATGGTATAAGTCTATATCCTGTTTCCCCCAAAATAAGACAGTGTCTTATATTACTTTTTGATCCCAAAGATGCGCTAGGTCTTATTTTCAGGGGATGTCTTTATTTTTCCATGAAGAAGAATACAGTACACATTTATTGTTAAATGAAAATAAAGGAAATTTATTACCTGTATACGGTACGGTAGAAGGGTAGTTGTCAACACAAACCAGACAAACTGTGAATCCTACAGTATCAAGAATTGACTCATTTATTCAATGACAATCATGTCATCACCTTCTGGAACATCATCATAACAATCCAATTCCTGAATTTCCTGGTGAATTTCTTGTGACTCCATTTCTTTCAGAATCAGTGGACCAAATCTCTCATGTTTAGCAATAGCATTCTGAGACAGAGCCTAGGGGGGGTCTTATTTTCAGGGGATGCCTTATATTTCACTTAGAAGGAAACATGTAAGTAGGTCTTATTTTCGGGGAAACACGGTATTTAAATGTGTAATATTCAAGTCAGCATCCTTGGAGAAAATACTCTGTCTTATTTGGGGGGAAGAGGGGAGATTTTCAAGTCTCCTCCCCCAGATAAGTCTTGGTCTATAGCTATGGTCGGCAATCTGTGGCTCTCGAACCACATGTGGCTCTATGGCCCCTTGAGTGTGGCTCTTCCACAAAATACCACAGCCTGGGCGAGTCAATTTTGAAGAAGTGGCATTAGAAGAAGTTTAAAAAATTTGGCTCTCAAAGGAAATTTCAATCATTGTACTGTTGATATTTGGCTCTGTTGACTAATGAGTTTGCCGACCACTGGTCTATAGAATTAAGTCCTACTGGTGGCATAAAGTAGTAAATAAAAGAGCAAAAGGAGGAATGCATTTCTGATTCTTTTAAATTTGACACTCATATTGATAGCAATATTTAAGGAATTTGGCCTACATCACCATTTTTTCAACAAAGGAAAAAACAAAGAGTTTGGTTATAGGTCAAGTCTGCCCAGTATTTAAGGGTCACTAAGAACTGGAACAAGTTCTTTCCAATTCTGAAGTTTCATGGGAAAAACAAAATACATTTTCATTGTGGATTCTTTCCCAAAGTGTGTGTGTCCTTTACCCCTTAACTCTACCAGATGACTGTCCTTCCTCATCCTGCACCAGCTCTGGCTCACCATGCTGTCCTCCCACATGATGGACAGCCTTCAAATCCCACTTAAGTTTGACCTTCCATAGGGACCACTATCAACTGGGCTACCATGGCTCTTCAGTGTAGAAACCCACCTTACAGCTTCAGAGCTAAACTGTTCAGGTGGTTATGAGGGGAAAAAAGATTGCTTTTAAACAACTCTTTTATTATGAGAGCAATAACCTATTTAAAAATACTGTGATGTTTCCATGCAAGTTTAAAATGGAGCAAAATAAAATCTTGATAATGAAAGCCTAAAGAGTCTTTTCCCCAAACTTTTAAAGGAACTTTTAAAATCCATAGTGTTCACGTAATGGACAAAACCCTAACACTTATAATACTCAGTCCATCACCAAAAATAAGTAACAAGTACATTTAAAAAAATCAATTATTTCAAAGTCACTTGGTGTTTTTCCTCCCACTAATGGAGAGTGATGAAGAATATCTTCCCATCCTAGTGGGCTATCCAAACTAGGTGTGAACATTTGCAACCTCTGGAAGTACTGTCACACAATCTCTTATCAGAACACATCTACATATTCAACTATCTTCTTCCTTTTCCAAGATAAACTTCTACAATCTCCTTTCAACTGTTTCCTAGTGTCAGGTATTCATGGTTTCAGTGTTAAAGCCAATTGTGGTGCTGAAGCATCCATCTTGTATGAAAACTGCGGTTTGAAATTTTAACCCTGCTATTTGGCTTCTATACATTCTTGCTTGCTAAGACTATCCCACTTCAGAGAGGCCATTCAGCGTTCCCCAGACAAAGTTATCAGTGCTGGTGCCAGGCCTCTGGTTGAGGTCTCAAGGCCCCAGTCCATACGGAAACACTCCATATTTGGGAGACAAAGAAGGTAAAAATCATATAAATAGGGAGAATTCCTGCATGTTGGGGCCCAGAGTTTGAGAGACATTTTCCTCTGGACCTGCGTGTTATAAATGTAACTCCATCTCTCTGGTATTGCTTTGTTCCTCTTTGGTTTTCTGTAACAGTGTAATACTACAAAAGGAGAATGGGCATTTTGGAATAGAGTCTGATTAATATCTCCCAGACTTTGGACATAAGACTTCTATTTACATAGCCTAAAGTTATATTTTAAATATGACTTTACAAACCTAGTTTTCTCAGATACTGCTACATACCAAATGAACTGTTATTAAAAGCATTACTGGAAATTATCATTCCTATAAACAAAACAAAAACCCTCTTATTTAATTCAATGCCAATGCCAATCCTTCTTTTCACATAACAAATATTTTTTTTTTGTTAAAGTAAATAATTACCTGTATTGGTGTTCCAGAAAGAATAATCCTATAATTAGCAGTCAGTTGTTTTACTGCTTTTGATAATTTTGTTTTTCCATTTTTGATGACATGGCCTTCATCAAGAATACAGTAATTAAATTTAATATTTCTAAGGGAGAACACACAAAAAAAATTTAGCTTTTTTTTTTTTTTTTTTTGGCAGGAAAATACTAAGTTTCTCCAAATTTGATGCTAAATTTTTCTAAATAAATAAATAAATAAATAATTCTTACCTAAAGAAATCTATGTCATTCCTCACAACATCATATGAAGCCACTATCAGATTATGCCTTTTTACTTGATGCTGTAACCTGTGTTTAAAAATAAGAGTAGGACATGAGGAATCTGCAAAATTCGTAACACAATTCAAAGGGAAAAGAAACTATATCATCATATAAGGTGCTTTCAATCAGTCTAATAAGACTAACATTCTCTTCTGTTTGCATTTATGATCCTGCTACCAGAAGGCCATTCTTATAAATGGGCCTTATTGCTCTAATTTAGTCTGATTAGAAAGAGATGGATATCTGACTCAAATGTGATGGACATTTTAACTTCACTTGCCAATACCTCTTCCTTGGAGGCACTACTCCATGGGGTTGGGGTTTGAGGGGGAGCGAACAATCCTTATATCACCAAAGAGATGAAGCACTTGAGTCACGCTGAGCCACTCACAGTATTCGCTGACCCCAAAGGGCTGGTTTTGGGGCATGACCAATGGGCCTAAGACTGCCCATGATCATCATACCCACCAACTGTAGACTGAAGTCCAGCACAGACCAAATATGATATAAGTTATGTATTAGGAGAAAGAGCAAACAGGAGCAATCTAGATATGCCTGAAACAAGAATTCCACCCAAAATTATCAATTTAGTGAATAAATTTCCTGTTTGCTTAAGCTAGTCTGAGTTTGAATCACTTGTAAATAAATGAATTCTAAATAACAAACTACAGTAAACTTTTTTAGTACAAGCTGTTTAGATGCCTGTGTTCAAATCTCTTATTGATGAGAGATATTATCTTTAAAATATATGTACACTTACCTTTCTTAAATAAATTTATATGTCTGATAACAAAAAAAGCTAAATTCACCCACAATAAATTTCATTCTTCCAAACTACTTAGAGCAAAAGATTTAACAGTTCTTACCTTATTCTTTCAGTAGGAGGTCCAGTATAGTGCAATGGATTGAGATATTCTCTGGAGCAAAATTTACCTACTTCATCCACCCAGTGACCTGTTAATGTTGGTGGACAAACCACCAAGGAAGGAAGTGGCATACATTCTGCCAATTTTGATCTTGCATATTCCTGGGCCCTTTACAACAACAAAACAATAAATAAACCACTTTTTTTTTTTTAATGTATTTCTCAGCATCTGGAAGTCTTCTTTCAAAATAATATTTTAAATTACCTGTGACAATGATCTCCTGCTAGAATGCAGATGGACTGTAAAGTTTTTCCTAACCCCATGTCATCACATAGAATTCCATGAAGTTTATACTTATTAAGAAATGCTAACCAGTTCACACCATCCTGAAACATTGAAAGAGAAAAATTATAACTGTAAACAAATAATAAATAGCATTTTTTTTTCAGGCAGAAAAGAAATAAGTGGATATAAGACACCAACCACAATATTTTATCAAGTAAATTTTAAAAACCCTTTGAGGTACATTTGAAAGGAATAGTCACTATTTATATTTATAAGATAACTATAAAACTTTACCTGCTGATATTTTCTGAGTTCAGCATTGATTGGTACTGGAATTTTGTAATTTTCCAATTTCTTCCCATCTAACAATTGCTCCAAAAAGTGTCGTTCCTTGGCTTTCAATTGGATTAATTCTTCTGACATATTTGGAGGGTCAGGAATGCCTGCCTAAAAGAGTTTTTTAAGTGTATTAATACTATTTACTCATAATCAATCTTTAAATTATAAAATAGTAGTAATTTTAAGTTTTATTAAAATATAACAATTTTCCCCACACCATGCATTACTTAAAAGGGCATATAAAGTTGTATGGCTTATGTTAAGTGAAATGCTATTACTAGAGCTTCTCAATTTCAGTGTTATGATGTTGCAGGATATTTTTGGTTCTCAAAATGTGAGCTGCCGACTCCTCAGGATGCTCAAGACCTTTTCAAAGGGTCACTGAGGTCAAAACTATTCTATGTAATAAAAGGCTAATATGCAAATAGACCAAACAGCGAAACAACCAAATAACCACTTGCTATGATGTGCGCTGACCACCACGGGGCGTGCGTGGAACATGGCAAGTGTCAGCTGCAGCAGGATGATGGAGCAGGTGAGCAGGGGTGCCAGACCAAGGCAGGACGCTAGTCACTGTCATCAGGGCAAGCCTCTGGTGGATACTAAAAATTTTTGCTCTTGCGTGCCACGGTCCTGCCAAGTGCTTGCACCTGCTGCTGGTGCCAGAGTATCTGCTTGCACCCACTGCCGGCGTCTACCGCCAGTCCCAGTCACTCAGCGCCATCAGCAGGTGGTGGCTGTTGGCCCTGATCACCCCGAGGGCCTCTCCAGCTCCCCCTGCTCCTAAGGGGCGATCGGGACAGCAGCTGCCACTCACACCCACTGACAGCACCGGCCCCAATTGCTCCACACCTTCAGCGAGTGCCAGCAGGGCTAGTGCCGTCAGTCAGTGTGTGGGAGTGGCGGGGGTGGGGCTGCTGGCAGACAGGGGACTGGGGCGGCAGCGGCAGTGGCAGTGGCAGAGTGGGGATGCAGAGATAGCCCAGACCAGCCCCTGTGCCTACCACAGCCACATGGCCCAGTTCCTTTCAAGGCGTACAAATTCATGCACTGGGCCCCTAGTTTCATAATAGAAGATTATCGTTTGCTTTTACCACTGTGTTGACATTTGCACTGATGATGCAAAAGTAATATGGGTAAAACTTCTCGTCCACCAGAAAAAATCATGGTAATTGCACCAAATATATCAGTAGTCACTGTATTCCTCACAGCCATGAACCAGCATTTTCTTTTAAAAAGCTTGTTTCATTTCAGAATGTCTTTTAAGTAGTAAACATAGTTTTATTAAACTCAACCACGAATGCACATCTTTTTTTTTTTTTTAAACATTTTATCAATGAGATGTAAAGTATACATAAAACACTTTGCACTATGTGTTGAGGAAAAGCACTTGTGAGACTGTTTAAATTATCTGACCTAGTGATTTTTCACAGAACATTTACTTAACTGGATGGATAAACTAGTTATTCTAACTTGGAGATTTGGCTGACATTTTCTCAAAAATAAAATTTCACTTCCAAGAAAACAACTGACATAACTTGTTGCCAATAAAAAAAATAAGCTTTCAGTAAAAACTTAGCAGTGAATTTGGCAACTTTCCAATACTAAAGAGGAATTTTCTGTTGGTTATATTAATTAATTTTATTTTTTTGCTACAGTATGGTGAAATATATCAACCATTAAAAATTTTACTAGCCAGGTAGTTCAATTGGTTGGAGCATTGTCCCATCACACCAAGGTTGCAGGTTTGATGGCTAGTCAGGGCACATACAAGAAATGAATGCATAAATAAGTGGGATAACAAATCGATGTCTTTCTTTCCAACTTTCTCAAATCAATTTTCAAAAGTTTTTAATGCAACTCAGAGAACCAATATTTTCCCAATGATCTATGCATAATGTTACAAAACACATATGATGAAAAGATCTAGTCAAAAGTGTAAGATTAACCAATTACTTTTTATTGATTTCAGAGAGAAAGGGAGAGAGATAAGAGATAGAAACATCAATGATGAGATAGAATCATAGATTGGCTGCCTCCACACACCTTCTACTGGGGAGGATCTAGCCCATAATCCAGGCATGTGCCCGTCGCCAGAAATGAATCTGGGACCCTTTAGTCTGCAGCCGACGCTCTATCCACTGAGCCAAACCTGCTAGGGCTAACCAATTATTTTTAAAGGTAATTTACACATTCATTGGTAGAACGTTAGATTCTACACTGAAGACAAATTTAAAAAGCTTTCTCTTTTTAAATTTTGATACGCTATCAGATAACACCCACAATTATTTGAAAAGGCTGTCAAAATACTACCAACTTTTCCAATTACCTATCTCTGTGAGGCTAAACTTTCTTCATATATCTCAACCCAAGGAACATGTTGCAAGAGAGTGAATGCCCAAGGAAACAGAAGAATCCAGCTACTACGGTACATTACTGATTCAGGCATAAAAGAGATTTGTTAAAATGTCAAATAATGTACTTTTTCTAACTTTTTGTTTGGAAAATAGTTATTTTTCATTAAAAATGTTACATATGGGAACATATAATGGATTCATTATTTAAATTAATTAATAAATCCTTTCATATTCCAGAAAATATGATAAACAAAAGCCCTATAGAGGTCTTCAATTTTTTAGAGTGTAAAGAGATCCTCGGACCAAAAAAATGTGAGAACTATTGCCCTATGCTGTCTCTAAAGTTTAAAAAATTTAGAACTTTGGAAACAGAATTATAATTCAATTAAAATATATATATACACTGAGTATTAAAAATGACTGCATGGTACATTTACAAAAGGATTCAGAATTAACTTCAGTAAGATAGAAACTAACATTTTAGCACATCTAATACCATAACGATATTAATAAAAATGAGGCCTTCCTGCACAGTACTTTACAAAGATTAAACAAAATCTTCATTTATCCTCATGGAATCTACACTAATAAAAGAGAAATATGCAGATTGACCATACCTCTGATATGCCCACCAGCCAATCAGGAACTAACCCAACCAAGATGGCTGCGGCCACAGAGCAAGAAAAAGGCTTGGGTTTCCCTAACAATAGAGGAAGCCAACCTTCTCGCCTGCTCTGGCTGGCCCTGGCCTCCACTCAAGGCTACAAAGTTTGAATTATAGAAGATAAATAAATCCCAGATACCAGGGCCTCCATTTGGGAGTGGCTGGCCTGCAAACCACCACAGGCCCTTCTCCCAGGCCACCCCACACTCCAAGAGAACCCCCACTCTGATCCGGGATACCCTTCAGGGCAAACCAGCCGGACCCCACCTGTGCACCAGGCCTCTATCCTATCTAATAAAAGAGTAATATGCAAATCAACTGTCACTCCAACACAAAGATGGCCAGTAGGGGAAGGCAGTTGGGAGGGACCAACCCTGTAATGGAGGGCAGTTGGGGGTGATCAAGCCTTTAGGGGAGGACAGTTAGGGGTGACCAGGCCTGCAGGGGAGGGCAGTTAGGCATCAATCAGGCTGGCAGGGGAATGGTTAGGGGGTGATCAGGCTGGCAGGCAAAGTGGTTAGGGGCAATCAGGAAGGGAGGCAGGCAGTTGGGAGCCAGCAATCCTGGATTGTGAGAGGGACATCCTTCAAGGGGTCCCAGATAGAGGGGGTACAGGCTGGGATGAATTTCATGCACCTGGCCTCCAGTTTTTAATAAATGACATATAATGAGATCCTTTTCTTAACAATGAAATCCTAAGTCCAAGAGTCAAAAATATTGTTTAGTTCCAGGAACCCTTTCTGTGAATAATTTCTTCACTCCAATTCCTATAAAATCAACAAGTTACTAATAGTGTGGGGAATTAGAATTGGTAGCTGATATTCCCTGAATCTTTGATAGTACAAGTTTTAAAAAGTACATGATTCTTCCTATGATGATTTAATAGAAGAAATCAAGATCAAGTGGAACAGCAATTAATCTACATGACATTCTTGTTTCTATTGCTATGCTTTCAAGCTCACAAATATTTTCTTATGCATTATCCAATCTGCTATTAATCACCTCCAGTTTGTTTTTATAGTCATGCATCGCTGTTAACAGATATACATTCTGAGAAATGCATTGTTAGGCAATTTTGGTGCTGTGCAAACATCAAGCGCCCTTACACAAACTTAGCTACTATAGCCTATTACACACATAGGCTATACGGTAGAGCCCATTGCTCTAGACTACAGATTTGCACACCATTTTATTGTAGGCAGTTGTATCACTATGGTATTTGTGTATCCAAACATAGAAAGGGTACAATAAAAATTCAGTGTAAAAGATTTAAAAAATGGTACACCTGTATAGGACAACTACCATGAATTGGAAGTTGCTCTGAGTGAGTCAGTGAATGAGTGGTGAGTGCATGTGAAGGCTTAGGGAATTACTATACACTGCTGTAGACTTTATGAGGACTGTCCCACAAGTCCTCCTCCACCTGCTTCCTTCTGACAGGGTCAGAAATAAAACATTAAAGCTGTTGATGCTGCTCCATGAATAAAGATGTGAGCTGGGTTGACTGGAAACATGAAGGAGAAACTGGCTGGGTAAAGCTTAGATCACTATAATAGTGACTGTCAGGAGGGAGTAAAAGGATCAGTAGGAGTAAGAAAGTAAAATGGAGAGGTAAAGGAGCACAGGGAATTGTAATGACAATGTGGTTTTGCCTGTTGCATGTTGGAGCAGTGGGCAGATTAAGGAACTTTGTGGTACTCATTTTAAAAGAGTAATCAACACGGCGTGAGTGTAGAACTGAGGAGTCAATATTTTGACTTTGAAAATTTGTTTTTGAGTCCATGGACCCTATTTGGCATAATGGGCTCTCTCTGACACTGAACTGATGGAACTATTTGTAATTATATTTTTCATCTCACAAGGTTCAATTTAGGTTCTCTTATCTTCCAATTTTGCTCATTATACTGCCTTCTTGAACAAATGGAGTGTATTTTAATGTTCTTGTCTACTTATTATATTATTTGGGCCATTTCAGAACCTATTTCTATTGATTGACTTCTCTCCAGGTTATTGGAAATATTATATGGTAATTTTTTCATGGATGTTAAACATCATATGTTGTCAGGTACTAGATTTTTTTTCCTTTAATTTTTCCCCCCTGGAACGTAGGTAAGTTGCTTGAAATCAGTCTGATCCTTTTAAGGCATGCTTTTAAACTTTGTTAAGGTGGGTCCAAGTTAGCCTTTTGTCAAGGGCTAATTTGGTCCCACTACTCAGGCAATATATATCTAAGGACCATACCTGAAAATCAGTATGGTAGAAGACTTTTGACTCAGCTTCTTGGGCACACAAACTATTCCTACATACTTTTGCCTGTGTAAGCTCTGGAAATTATTCCACATACTCCTTTCTATGGTATTTCCCTGCCCCAGTCTCAAACATACCTATATTCAATATATGTTTGAATTTGAATTTGAATGCAGTATGCTAGAATGCATATGCCCAGATGAATGCTCGGTCCTTGTGGGGACCTCTGGAGCTTTCTATCTATGCAGCTATTTCCTGTTGGGTACTCTGCCTTGTAAAGTCTCACCATCTTGTCCTCCCTTCGCTCTGAACTCTGACTCTTCGACTTGGCAAAAGCATTAGGCTCTTCATGTTTCCCTTTCATAAATCACTATTCTGAACTGCCTGTTGTTCAACATCTGAAAACCACTGTTTCATTTTGTGTGGTTTTCTGGTTCACGTAGGAGGATAAATCTGCTCCCTGTTTTTTATTAGTGCTGGAAGCAAAATATGCATCTCATTTCTAAAGTCAAAATCTCTTTTCTTTGCCAATGTTATCAAGTATTATTTTTAAAAAGTGTTTATATCCCTTATAACCTGATAGTGGATCTGGGCTCTGATTTGGGGGCACTTCCATTCTAATTCACATTTAAACAGCTATTAAACTGATTTTCCCAAGACACTGCTTTCCGCTGTTAGACTAATTTTCCTAAAAACACTGCTTTTATCATCTACTCCTTGGCTCAAAAAAGACACAATGTTTTCCCATCATTCACTGATTCCTAAGCTCAAAAGGGCCAAGGGGACTAAATATAAGCAATTTAATTTACAGATAAAATTATGCAATGCCCAAGAATCTAAGGATATGAATAAGACCTAGTAAGTGGGTGATGAAAACAATTCTGGATATAAAAAATATATAAACAAATGTACAGTTGAATAAGGTATAACACACACACTTTTATAACCATTACCCAATTAAAAAAAAAAAGAGCCCAGCCAATATCCTAGAAGATCCCATATGTTCCTTCACTTTCCTTTCCCTAAGAGGTAGTCACTTTATTAACTTCCATAGCAATTTTCTTAATTTATCATCTAAAGTATGCATCCTACATACTTTTGCCTATTTTTGAACTTCATTAAAAAATGGAATCTTATATAAAGGGATTCATTAATATTGTAGTATGCATCTGTACTGTTCATTCTTATTGTAGTATAATAATCTAGTTAACATTAGTCTACTGATGAACATTTGAGCGGTTAAAGGCTGCTATAAATAATGGTATACTAGTAAATGTTCTTGAAGATGTGACTTGGTATATGTCTATGAATTTTTTTAGGGTGTATATCTAGGATGGTTTTGTTGGGTCACTGGGATGAGAATCTTCAATTTTACCAGATCTATCAAAACTTTTTTTCAAATAAAGAGGGTATCAAACTTATGCTCATATTTTGCTGGAAGACATGTAAAATGGTACAGTTACTTTGGAAAACGGTTTGGCAGTTTCTTAAAAAAAGAAATGGCCCAGTAATTCCATTCCTAGATACAAATCTGCTCAAAATGAAAGCATACATCCACAAAAAGACTTATAAGTGCAAGTTCATAGCATTCCTTGTAACAGCCAAAAGCTGGGGATAATCCAGCTGTCTATCAACTTCGGAATGGATAAAGAAAAGGTGATATGTCCATACAATGGAGTACTATTCAATCATAAAAAAAGAACCATTTATACATAGACAATATATGGAACAACGCTGACATCCAGTTGTTCCATTACACTTAAATTATTAAGGAAATTTCCAAATGGTTCTGAGGTAGCTGTTTTCACAAACTGAAGTATTGATACATATTATAACATGGATGAACTGAATATCTACTTATTTCCTGAGTTACAAAAATCCTTCCAAAATATATCAAGAGGCTTGGTGGCAGGGCTCTGGTTCTTCCCTTGTTTCAAGCCATTATTTCCTGATTGACCACATATATTATTTCTGTCCCATGAATATACTCCAAATTTCTCTAATTTCAGTTTCTCCATACTCCCACAGACTTTAATTGCTTTACATTTTCAATTATCATCTCTCAAATTTACTTTTCATGTAAACTTCAGTATAGAATCTTTACATAGATGTTATAGGGATACTTAGAAATAATTCTATTTTTAGAACAGCATTAATAAATAAGTCTTTTAGGAACCATAGTTTTATCTAAAACCCTTGTTTTAAAAAGTTACCCATTAAAGTATAAATTTCTTAATGCTTACAACAAATATATTCAACATTATTTTTTAAAACTTGACAAATTATTTAAGTCCATAAACCAAGTGTTTTCTACTTACCTCAAGTGGCATGAGTCTAATTAGTGTTGCAAAGCACTGCGTAGCCATAAATCTTACACTGTCTGTCTGATCGCTCATTCTTCCCAACACAGGTACAACTAAAAGGACAATATATGGAACAATGCCGACATCCAATTGTTCCATTACACCTGAGTAAGTTATTAAGGAAATTTTCAAATGGTTCTTAGATGTTTTTGCAAACAAACGGATACACCAAGATTGTAACTTCTAAGAAAGTTCCTCATTTTCTCATCTGTGTTTTAAGGTACTAGATTATTCCTCGAAGTTTCTTATAACAGCATATGCACACTGTTGCTCTTTGTAAACATTATGTAATTTTCTCATGATTAAGTATATAAAATCATGTTTCCATCTAAGGTTGGCTGGAGGTAGTTTTACTAATAAGATTTTTTCATTCATATACTAATAAGTTTCTAGATTTCCAATACCAAAATAAAATGAGTTACATTACAAGCAAGGAGCACAATACTCAATGATTAATTCTAAACTTCCCATCAAGATCTTGACAATCATAAACTAGACATAACAGGCCCAGTAAGTTTAGTTCCCTTTCAATATTCAGCATTTCTGAATCTAACTTTCTACTGATTTGACCTCCATTCATCTTTCTTGTTCTTAGAAATATCAGGTACTTCAAGTTAAATAATAATCAGTAGATGCCATATCCTTTTAGCAAAGAGCTTTGCCTGTATATTCCCAGTAATTTAGGACATGTAGTCATATTCCACCCAAGTAATGAACTAACTCTGGCAACAAAATGTATTATAAGAAGTACCTTATTAATATCTGATTATTAATGAATTATTCATTATAAACCAAATAAGTATATAATTCATAAAGTACATAAAATTATTTTTGCTATTGAAAAGATCTCCTAAAATAGCAATTCTTCAAACTTTCTGTGTAACAATTTTCACAACAAAATGTAAATATATTTTTAATGTATTTATACTATAATAAAAATTCTTCAAAATAAAATGTAAAAAGGCAGTTTTCTTTTTGGAACAAATTTACTTGAATAAATCAATTTTATTTTAGTCATCCTTAAATAAAATGAATGTAATTTCTGAACATCTTGTACAAATAAAAAAGGATACAGGCAAGTGCTTCAATTGCACCCTCTTGTTTGATATTGTCATCAATTGCTCCCAGCCATGGAAGAACTTTCTCCAAAAAAATATTCATTGTTTCCATGGTAGCGATTTTACTCATGATTCCTACACAACGAGCAGCCATATGTCTCACTGCAGTGCTGGGGTATTGAAGGCACATATAAAGATGAGGCAAATGCTGTACCAACTAAAAAAAAGTTTAAGACAATCAGAATACTTATTAGGGAATGTACTGTTTAAAATATTAACTATAATAGTCCACATTCAAAGGTGTAAAAAAAAGTTTAAGACAATCAGAATACTCATTAGGGAATGTACTGTTTAAAATATACTATAATAGCCGAAACCGGTTTGGCTCAGTGGTAGAGCGTCAGTCTGCGGACTGAAAAGTCCCAGGTTCGATTCCGGTCAAGGGGCATGTACATTGGTTGCGGGCATATCCCCGTTAGGGGGTGTGCAAGAAGCAGCTAGTCGATGTTTCTCTCTCATTGATGTTTCTAGCTCTCTATCCCTCTCCTTCTCTCTGTAAAAAATCAATAAAATATATATATTTTTAAAATATATATATATACACTATACTAGTGCATATTCAAAGGTTATCAAATGCATAAGTGACTCTAAATCCAAGAATATCTCAAAACATTATTGTCAAAATATCCTCAATAAAAAACTAATCTATTAATAAATCCAAACTAAGGTATAACTCTTTTAGAAAGAAAAGGTGCAGAATTTCCCTGCTCAATATCTTCTTTTAGGTATCAGGAAAAATACAATTCTTTCAAAATTTAACAGGGAGCCTTGGCTTAGTTGGTTGGGTTTCATCCCGTGCACCAAAAGATTTTCTGGTTTGATTCCAGGTCAGGGCACATGCCCAAGTTGCGGGCTCAATTCTCAGTGGGAGTGGTTGCGCAGGAGGCAGCCGATTGATGGTCTATTATCACATCAATGTTTCTCTTTCTCCCTCTCCCTTCCTCTCTCTCAAAATATAAAGGAGAAGAAAAAAAAAAATAAAAAAAAATATATATATATATATATATGTGTGTGTGTGTGTGTGTGTTAATTTAATAGGGGAACACATCAAAAGGTATTTGCAAGATTCTTCTACTGAGGCTGGGAAAATGATACCACACATCACCAGCCCCCTCCAAATCTTATAGCACTGGCTTAGGTTTAAGCACATACTTTTATTCACTGGGTTGAGTGATCCTGATTTTGTTCTAAACACCATACTTTGATAAGTGCATTTTCCACTTTAACTTTCTGGCACACCATAGTGTTATGACAACAGCAAGACATATGCCATTATTAAATGCATGCTGTACTGAATGCCAGGATTGACGCTGATGAAAGCCAGATGCCTGCTCAAAAGACTAGCTTTAATTTCAGGTGAATGTATGTTGTTGAACATGGAGGTAAGAGCATATGGATGGATTCTTCCCTAATGATAAATCAGCAAAATTTAACAAGTAAAAGAACATACTTTATTACTGTATAAAAGAAAAAAGTTCATTCTTGTCCCCTCTCTACTAGATCCCCCCTTTTCCATTAGCTGTAAGTAGAGAATTGGAGTTAGTACCCTGCAAGTTGCAGAGCTTCCTATTGCAGCTAAGTGGAAAAAAGTAATACCTTCTTCTATGGAAAAGTTACTATTTTCCTCCTCCCTGTGTCCCAATATTTTATAAGAAACTGCCACTAATTTCATCTTGTCCAGGTAACTTCCTTCTACCTTTACACTTATCTTGGGAAAAAGTTTTATTACCAATGCTCTTCCTTTTTTAAAACTGTATTAAGCCAAAACCGGTTTGCCTCAACGGTAGAGCGTCGGTCTGCAAACTGAAAGGTCCCAGCTTCGATTCCGGTCAAGGGCATGTACATTGGTTGCGGGCACATCCCCGGCGGGGGTGTGCAGGAGGCAGCTGGCCGATGTTTCTCTCTCATCGACGTTTCTAGCTCTCTATCTCTCTCTCTTCCTCTCTGTTAAAAATCAATAAAAATAAATAAATAAATAAATAAAATAAAATAAAAACTGTATTATTAAGATAGTAAGAATGAATAGGCTGTAACTTTCTTTCCTGTTACTACCCAGCTTCTGTGTCATCAGAGACCTATCCCTACTGCCCTGTATTCAAAGGTCGCAGAGTAGGTTTCTTATCATTCATGTATCCAACTCTGCTTCAAATCCCATAAGAGTTGTGCTGTCAGTAAGGAAGGAATCTAGATATACCATATAAAAGAAAATGCAATTACTAGGGATGACATCAAATTGCATTTTCCAGCCATAGACTTTTATATAAAGCCACTTGTTCTAATGGAAGAAAACTACACTTGTATTAGTTAATTACCAAAGGATGAAGCTCAGGATCCATTGATGCTGATGCCGTTTCAAAAACTTGCAGAGAATTTACCAATTCTTGAGCAGGGCCATCTCCGTTTTCCAGGAGAGACTTTCCATCTATTAAAATATATTGATTTCAGTGCATATCACCTTGTAAATAATTTTTCAAAATCTAGGCCCACGTAAAATTTTAATACCTCCCCAGCTACTATGGGAAAGTGATTTTGCCTTTTTAGTGTGAAAATAAATGCCATGCTTTAAGTGCTAAGATACACTTAAAGCAACTAAAAATAGTTTAACATAATAACTGACCCATTTCAAATATCTTTCTAACCATATAATAGAAAAAATAAAAAGCAAAAAATAATACAAAATGAAAATTAAAATAAATGATCCTACCAACCTTCCATTTAAAAACTCAACAGCAAGTCTGAGATAAACAGATATAGGCATTTTTATTTTATAAGAATATATGTAATATATACTGACATTTGTCAAAATTCCAACTCAGATAAATATGTACACACCGAAATTATTTATGTCGATAGTATTCCTCAATGGACCAACCATAGCATCCCAGAGATGTGGCAATTTCACTGCCATTTCACCACCAAAATGCTTCACTATAGTTGTCAAGGCAAATTCAGCTCCTCTCCGTTGTACCAGGTAAGGTTTCTGGGCCTAAAATTAAATATTAGTTTAAACAGAATTTCACAAAAATGCATTTTAAATTTCAGTAAGAGAATGTAAAAGTAACCACCTAAGAATTCAGTGTTATCATTAACCAATTATTGAATATATTTATCATAACTATAAATATTTTTTAACAATTAAATTTACAGTGGCATAAAATCCAAACTAGATGTCTTATATCCAAAGCAAAATACTTTTTTGGGTTGGGGCTAAGGACAGGAGAATATGTGCTGTTTTCAGAGATAGTCCTAAGAGATCTACTTTCTCCTCCCTACCTAAAAGAAACTTACCTGCTAAAGAGAAGATTAGAAGACAAAATGATCTGTCCTTACTAATATTTGTTTAAGGAATAGAATAAGAGCATCTATTTAAACCACAAGGTAACTTCTCACCTAGCAATAATTTTATTATAATTAAATACAAAAAAAACTTGTTCCAGAAAGATATATATGTTTTACAAGTTACTTTTTAAAATTGATTTCAGAGAGGAAGGGAAAGGGAGAGATAGAAACATCAATGATGAGAATCACTCAGCTGCCTCCTGCACATCCCCTACTAGAGATTTGAGCTAGCAACTCAGGAATATACCCTGACCAAAATCAAACCCTGAACTCCTGGTTCATAAGTCGATACTCAACCACTGAGCCATGCAAGCTGGGCACAAATTATTTTTAAGTGGAAGAACTATACATACCATAGAGATATAAGCATAAAAATCATAGTCAATTTTTTACTAAAATTATTATTGGAAGAATATAATCAGCTTCGTTCATAGAATATTTTATTTTAATCCCGAGGATATGTTTTTCATTAATGAGAGAGAGAAACATCAACATGACAGAGGAACATTGATTGGTTGCCTCCCATGCACACTATGACCAAGGATTGAACCCTCAACCTGGGTATGTGCCCTGACTGGGGATTGAACCCAACACCCTTCGGTGCACGGGACTACACACTGATCAAGACAGAATATTTCAAAAGAAACAGACAATAAGCTAAGATTTTTATTTTAAAACTTAATATGCCTATATTTTATAGAAATACATTAAATACATGTCTTTTAGTATTGATAGGTTATTGCTGAATTTGGGTAAGTTCCTGTCCTGAAACCAAAAGAGCTCTAAAACATTCATTTCATTAATAATGTGACTGTAAGATTTTCAATAACCACTTTTATCATCTTTAAAGAATATTATACTGCAGAAAAAGTAGACCAATGAAGAAAAAAACCCCAAATAAATCTTCATATGGTGTACATGAATCATGATATATAATGGAGGGTACCATTTTGAATCAGGGAGGAAAGGATTCAAGAGTGGGATAACTGGCTATTTATACATGAGAGTAAATTTAGATCTCTCCCTCACTTCACACACATAATAAATTTCAGGGTGACTGAAAGTTATCTAAGGTGACAATTATTTGACACTTACCAATTTATCCTTTGAGTATCAACAATTCCTGTCACTGATAGGGCTTAGAAAAGTTAGCTTTCACTGTTATTTAACATCTCTACAGTCATTGCTATAGGAGCTGAATTAGTTTACATTTGTGAATGACGTATGTACCAAGAAAGTGTCTTGCTTAGGGAGATAAAGTCAGGCAGGTAAAAATGTGATGCATGAGAATTTGAAGAAATTTGCAGTTTTTCTGAATCATGTTGCTGGCATACTCTTAAGAGTTATTAATCCCAGTTCTTTAGCTTAAAAATACAATCCTAAAAGGTGATATGACAATTGACAATTTTGCTATCAATCTGGAAGATACTTGTTTAGAAACCAAAGTATTGAAAGAAAAAAGAATTTACCTCATCAAGTTCTATAAGGATATTTCCACTATTTCCTGTAGGAAGATCTGCTATTTGAGCTTTTACTGCTTTGGGCGTAGGACCTCGTCTACTTGTGATTGCAAAAGCAGCTTTCTGGTGCCTATAGAGTGTAATTATACCTCTGTGCTTGGTGACAGTATGGTGCATTCCATCTTTTTCGGAGCTGGATACTAATAAGAAAAAAAAGTTACATGACCTTTTAAGCATAATACTATAGGTGACAAAATGCATTGTTCTAAAACAAAACAAAACATATTTTAAAACTTTTATGTCTTTGAATCCTCCAATCTCTATAGGCCAAGTATATTTTCTTAAGATAATGAAGTGATAACAAAATTCTCAGTAATTTAGAGCGTTAATTTAAATGTTTTGATATCTGCATAGGTCCATACTTAATAAAATCAAAGTAGGATCATGTTAATAACTATCCTATGCAAGAATAACTGTGCCTTCAAGGTAAAGAATATTAATTTTTTAAAATGATTCTTTCTAGGCATAAAAACAAACATTAAAAACATATTGCAGCCGAAACCGGTTTGGCTCAATGGATAGAGTGTCGGCTTGGGGACTGAAAGGTCCCGGGTTTGATTCCGGTCAAGGGCATGTACTTTGGTTGCAGGCATATCCCCAGTAGGGGGTGTGCAAGAGGCAGCTGGCCGATGTTTCTCTCTCATCGACGTTTCTAGCTCTCTCTCTCTCTTCCTCTCTGTTAAAAATCAATAAAAAAATATATTTAAAAAAAAAAAAAAAAAAACATACTGCAAGCAAGCTCTCTTTATAAGAAATATCCAGAGTTAGGTCAGAAATATTAACCCTGCAAAATACTACTGCCTCAACATAACACTGGGTTGGGATGGCAATTGGAATTATCCTATCACATTTTTATAATGTTGATATTCAAAATGTCCACCACATTCCTCTTCCAGTTCAGATTTTTTTTCAAGACCTATATTGTGCCAAAGTTATAAATTTATTACTTTTGCTTTCCCAAAATCTTACCAAGAAGGATAAATAAATCACACAAAACTAAGGCATGTGAAAAAAAGCTGGTCCATGAGACTAGCCTAGAGAGAACAGTTCTTGTTTTCCATATGGATTCTCCAAATGAAAACAGAAACGTTGGCTAATAATTATTTGCTAAAGGTAATAAAGTTCACATTTCTTAAGACATACCAAATTAGAGAAATTGGATTTTAATAGGAAGAAATTTCAGTTAACATTTGATACCATAAAGTTTTCTACTCCCAGTTCACAATAAATTCTATAATGATGCTGTTGAAAGATGAGAAAGGGTTAACACCTGTCTCAGATTCCAGTCATCTTATATTAAGTATCAGACCTTTTATGAATAGCTGATTTGAGTTTAAAGCGCTGTGATTTTGTTAGCAGTATGTGCAAATTCTCTCAAAATGGAAAAAGGCACTAACATAAAATGGAATTTGTGTTTAAATTATAAGTAAATGAAAACACATGTAAATGGTTAATGGTTTTTTTCTATCTCAAATGACAGTTTAGATATATACCTTTAGAATTTTCCTGGCCACTTTGTGTTGGCACTGGACATGTGACACAAGGAGTTAGATAGGGGTCCACACAAAGGGAACTACAAAGGTTTTTTATAATTTTTGAATTTGGACTGGGTGTCCTCGTTGTGCACTGCTGCAGTAGTTTGGCTATAGACTGAGCCGCATAGTTTTGCACTAGTGTATTCTCTTCCTTTTTAATTGTCTCCATTAAAGGTTTTATGATTGGATTTAATTTCTCCGGAAGCTGCTGCAAGCTCACAACTGCACATGCAGCAAAAGTATGCACTCTCAACTGCAACACTTGCCACTCTTGGTTGGTCTCTGTAATTGTCATTTGGACCTGCTGTCGTTTACTATCTAACTGCTGTGACACTTGAAGATTTAATTCGAAAGATGATGTGACTTCATTAAAAACAGTAGTGACCTATTGAAAAAGAGAAATTAAAATAATTAATGATATCAAACCAAAAACAGTCCATAATATCCTAAAGGGCTGACAGCAAGCTTTCTGTTTCAATTTGAAGTTTCACAATATCCAGTATTATTTTAGTATTCAATAGATTAAATAAATGTCTAAAAAGTCCCAACTACATTTTATTTTAACATTAGCTTTATATTTTTTAAGAAAGACACAGTATTTGAAAAGAACAGAACAGTGACAAGCTGGTTCACAGGTTGATGGTTTCCCTTCTGGTGAAAATTACCAAATAATGGGGGGGGGGGGGTAGATAAATATTAATTCTCTAATTACTAAGAACTGCCTAAAGCTATATGGCTGTGGCATCAGACTCCATTAAGAGACTGCTCAGTACATCTTTTTTAACAACATCATTGAAATATAATTTACATGTCCAGCTGGCACGTGGCTCAGTGGTTGAGCATCGACCTATGAACCTGTTAGGTCACAGTTTGATTTCCAGTCAGAGCACATGCCCTGGTTGCAGGTTCGGTCCCCCGTGCAGGGCATGCAGGAGGCAGTCAATGATTCTCTCACATTTATGTTTTTATCTCCCTCTCCCTTTCTCTCTGAAATCAATTAAAAAATATATATTTAAAAAAAATATATATATATATATTCACAAACAATATACCATTTAAAGTATACAATTCAATGTTTTGATTATAGTCATAGAGTTGTATAATCATTGCCACAATTTTAGAACATTTTCATCAACCTCAAAATAAAACTCATACCTGTTAGCCATCATTCCTCTTTTCCTCCCAGCCCTATGCAAACATTTATCCACTTTCTATCTTTACAGATTTATCCATTCTGGACATTTCATATTAATGCACTAATACAAAATGTAATCTCTAAGTGACTGGTTTCTTTCATTTAGTATAATGCTTTCACAATTCATCAATGTAGGAGCATGTATGAGTACTGCATTCCCTTTTTGTGCCAAACATTCCACCAAATGGATATACCACCTTGTATTCATCCATTCATTAATTTATAAACATTTGGTTTTTTTCCACCTTTTAGTTATTATATTGTTATGAACAATATTGCCATGAACATTTATATACACGTTTTTGTTTAAGATATTTTTAATATGTGAGTGATGGCTTATATAAAAAAAATAGTCTTCTTGTTTGATAGGTAATTGCAATCATAAAGAGGTTCCATAAATAGATCCAGCCTGATTAATAATGATTAGAAAAGCCTGTAACACTGAAGAACCTAACTTATTTTTAATGGAGAACATAATTTTTTTAGACTTGGAAATGATCAATTCTTAGAAATGATCAAAACTGATAATGCTGGCTTTTTATTATGAAAAACAAAGTAGGCACACAAATAAATCTTTTATCATTACAAAATATTAAAAATTGAGCTATATCCACTTGACCATATCAATCTGCTCACTGCAAAGGAACATGATTACATACCACTGTCTGTTTTATTTATTCGAGTTGTGCATAAAGTTTATTTGAAACAGGATTTCACTGCTAAAAGTTTTAAAACATTGTCTTTAAAGACTAGGTTTCTGTCTAAGCAACTAAGGAAAAGCTTTCCAGCCAAGACCAGTTTAGCTCAATGGATAGAGCGTCGGCTTGGGGACTGAAGGGTCCTGGGTTCGATTCCGGTCAAGGGCATGTACCTTGGTTGCGGGCATATCCCCAATGGGGGGGTGTGCAAGAGGCAGCTGATCGATGTCTCTCTCTCATCGATGTTTCTAGATTTCTATCCCTCTCTCTTTCTCTCTGTAAAAAATCAATAAAAAAATATATTAAAAAAAAAAAAAGCTTTCCAATTATCCCAAATTCACTCATTCATTCATTCATTCGTTCATTCAACAAATATTTACTGAGTAATACTAAAAGACGTTTTCATGCATACAAAAAAATGCAGACACTAATGTGGGAGATAGATATGTAAGTAAACAACTAAGGCAACGTAACAAATAACCAAGGTAAGTTCAAGTTGCTGTGGGAGCACATAGGTTTGCTTAATTCTTCTTAGGTGACAGAATAGTGGAGGCTTGCCAGAGGTTAATACTTATGCTGAGTTTCTTAAGAATGGGTATGTCAGGAGTTGTAGGGACATCTTTGAAAATAGTGTGTTAGGGAGTGAAAAGCTGGTTACTGTCCAAGGAACTGAAAACAGTTTATCATGGCCTGAGTACAGGTTACAGATGGAGGAATATCAAGAGATGAACTTGGGATAAGCATAGAGGATTGAGAATAGGTAGTTCCTGGCAAAGGAAACAGGAGCTCAGGCAAAGTGAGAAAGAGTGACACACAGAAAGAATGTAGTGCATTTTTTCTGCAAGAGGAAAACTGAGTTGAAGGGAAGGGTTCCTCTGGTCAGATAGCTCAGTTGGTTAGAGTGTAGTCCTGATATGCCAAGGTTTGGGGTTCAATCCTCAGGGAACATACAAGAATCAACCAATGAATGCACAAGTGAACAAAACAATGTTTCTTTCTCTTATCAATAAATAAATAAAAAATTGTTTAAGTAGAGAAAGTCTGAGAAATAGTATATGTGCTGCCGAAGCGAGCACAGGAAGTCTGAGAAATAAAAAGGAAGAAAAATGTGAGGAATTTAAAGATGGTACTGAAAGTAAGAAAAGAAGAACTCAAATTGCGGAAGAAGAAAATAATGTTTTTAAGCAGAGGAGGGATGTATTCAGAGTGACACTAGAGGATTTTACAAGTCAGACACAGTATAGAGAATGAAACAAGAGGGGAATTGGTGACTCAGGATCTAATAATAAAGTACTAAGGTCTTTGAATAAGTTGGAGCAATGGAAACAAAGGAGAAGCATATGAAAATTTTTGAAAGGAATTGTTAACAAAATTTGTGAGTGTGAATAAAAATGGCACTTTGTTTTAAAAAATGCCAGCTTTAGTTGTGTTAATTTGAAGTGACAGTGAGACATCCAAGTAAGAATGTCTAATAGGAAAATATGTAAAAGAGAAGATAGCATAGCACATAGATAATCACTAAACTGTGTTAGCCAGTCTCACCAAGAAGCAAAGAGAGAGGACCCAAATAAAAATCAGAAATGAAAGAGGAGAAATAACAACAGACCCCACAGAAATACAAAGGATTGTTAAAAAATACTATGAAGAACTCTATTCCAACAAACCAGACAACCTGGAGGAAATGGACATATTCCTAGAAAAATAACTTCCAAAACTCAATCAGGAAGAACCTAAAATTTTCAATAGGCCAATAACTATGGAGGAAATTGAAGCAATCATCAAAAAGCTTCCAGCAAATAAAAACCCAGGACCAGATGGCTTCACAGGAGAGTTTTGCCAAACATTCAAAAAATTAAAACCTATCCTCCTCAGACTATTCCAAAAAATTCAAGAGAAAGCAAAGCTTCCAAGTTCATTCTATGAAGCCAACATTACCCTAATACCAAAACCAGATAAAGACAACACAATGAAAGAGGCCAATATCCCTCATGAACATAGATGCCAAAATCCTCAACAAAATACTAGCAAATCAGATCCAGCATTACATTATAAAGATCATATACCATAACCAAGTAAGATTTATCCCAAAGATGCAAGAAGGTACAATTATCACAAATCAATAAATGTAATACATTACATAAACAAATTGAAAGATAAAAATCACTTAGTCGTATCAATTGATGCAGAAAAATCCAAAACCTTCTCTTGATAAAAACCCTCAACAAAATGGGATAGAGGGATCATACCTCAACATAATAAAAGCCTTATACAACAAACCTACACAGCCAACAACATACTCAATGGGCAAAAACTAAAAACATTTCACCTAAGAACAGGAATGGGACAGGGATGCCCACTTTCACCATTCTTGTTCGACATAGTTCTGGAAGTGCTAGCCATAGCAATTAGACAAGAAGAAGAAATAAAAGGTATCCAAATTGGAAAAAAAGATGTAAAACTGTCATTATTCACAGGTGACATGATACTGTGTACATAGAGAACCCTGAAGACACCATAAAAAATTATTAGACTTAATAAATGAATATGGCAATGTAGCAGGATACAAAATTAATGCCAAGAAATCTATGACATTTTTATATACCAATATTGAACTTACAGAAAGAGATTAAAAAAAAAATCCCATTTATCTTTGAAACAAAAAAAATTAAGATACCTAGGAATAAGCTTAACTAAGGAAGTAAAAGACCTGTACTCAGAAAACTATAGGTCACTGAAAAGAGAGAGGAAGACATAAACTGTTGGAAGCACATACTGTGTTCATGGATTGGTAGAATCAATATCATTAAAATGTCAATACTACCAAAGCAATCTATAGATTAAATGCACTCCCCATTAAAATACCAATGGCACATTTCACAGATCTAGAAAGAACTCTCCAAATATTCATCTGAAATAAAAAAGACCTTGAATAGCTGCAGCAATCCTGAGAAAGAACAAAGTAGGAGGGATCTCAATACCTGATTTCAAACTGTATTACAAAGCCACTGTTCTCAAACTGCCTGGTACTAGCACAAGAACAGACATATAAACCAATAGAATAGAACAGAGAATCCAGAAATTGACCCAAACAATTATGCTCAATTAATATTTGACAAAGGAAGCAAGAGCACACAATGGAGTCAAATCAGCTGGTTCCCACCCACGCACCAGACCTCTATCCTATCTAATCCTATCTAATAAAATAATAATAAGCAAACTAACCATCACTTCAACACACAAGATAGCTACCCCAATGTGGTCAAAGATGACTGCCTCCAGGTGGACACAAGATGGCCACCAAAAGGTGGCCAGCAGGGGAGGGCATTTGGGAAGGACCAGGGCTGCAAGGGAGGGCAGTTGGGGGCAATCAAGCCTGCAGGGAAGGGCAATTAGGGGTGACCAGGCCAGCAGAGGGGGGAAGTTGGGGGTGACTGGGCCTGCAGGGAAAGGCAGTTGGGGGGAACCCAGGCCTGTAGGGGAGAGCAGTTGGGGGGATCAGGCCTGAAGGAGAGGGCAGTTAGGGGTGACCAGGACTGCAGGGGAGGGCAGTTAGGAGCAAACAGGCTGGCAGAGGAGCAGTTAGGCATCCATCAGGCTGGCAGGAGAGTGGTTAGGGAGTGATCAGGGGGTGATCAGGCTGACGGACAGAAGTAGTTAGGGGCAATCAGGAAGGCAGGCAGGTGAGCAGTTGGAGCCAGCAGTCCTAGATTGTGAGAGGGATCCCAGATTGGAGAGGGTGTAGGCTGGGCGGAGGGACAACCCCCCTCCCTCGTGCACAAATTTCATGCACCGGGCCTCTAGTCTATATTATTAAAGGCCTGTGGCCCTAATGCTGTAAAGTCAAAAGACCGGTGTGGGTGGGCGGGGCTGTGAGAGTAGATGGGCAGTGGGTAGATGAGGGGGCCACACCATTTCATGCACTGGGCTTCTAGTATTTAAGATAAAACTTGGTAATAAAAAATGAAATATTGATACATATAACATGGGTGAATGTTTAAAACATCATGCTGAAAAAAAAATCTTTATATCAATCAGTACAGAGTCTATGATTCTAATTATATGAAATTCTAGAATGGGCGAAAGTAATTTATGATGGCAAAAAAATCAAAACAATGGTTATGTGAAGGCAAGAAAAGGGAAGGATTGACTAAGAACTGGTAATAGGGAACTGGGTTTCGTAGGTATAAGGCTTCTGTTAAAATTCATCAAATGGTCCATTTAAGATTTGTGTATTTCACAGTATATAAATTTTAACTCAAAAAAGCAAACAATCAAATAATGAATTTTAGTTAATGACCTACATACTGAAATGTATTGATATCTGCAACTTAAAAATGCATAAAAAAAAATAATATGAACTGAAAACTAAAGGGATAGTTAGTTGCATACGCATGTGATAAAGCAAAATTAGTAAAATGTTAACTTTAGAACCTAGTTGGTGTGTATATGAAATGTTCACTGTGTAATTTTCTCAATTTTTATGTTTGAATATTTTCATTATAAGTTGGAAAGGAGAAGGAAAAATATTCAGGAACTTATAGAAGTTTTTTTCCTATACTCTGCCAGGGTTCAGCAAGACGCAGAAACAACAAAGAAAGTAACAGCTTTTCTAATAATGGTACATTGGTTTGCCAGAATTTGAACTTAAAAAAAAAAAAAATTCCTTCCCTATCCCCTAATTTTAAGAAAAGTCAATACAATGAAATAACCTGTCGAAAGGATAGAAATGACAAGATATCAAGCCACAGATAGATTCAACAAATCAGTGTATTATTTTATGTTCAATCTAAAATTAAGAAAGTTACTTCTTTACTCACCAGGTCATTAGCTTGATCTATTGTAAAAACATTGTTGTTTACTCTATTACCAACTTCAATATGTGCATCAGCTAAAGTTGAAATAAGCTGTTTACACTCATTCTGCATTCGTGTGAATGGGACGGCAATTTCATCATAATATAAGTGTTCTGAAAGGATATCAAGTAAACGTGGCTGCACAGTTAACGTAACAGCTTTACACTCCTAAAATGTAACAGACAACAAATATTCAGAGCAAATAAACGTAATTCTAAAGATGCATAAATCTTCACTTGCAAACTACCAAGTTCTAAATTCCTACTGATTTTCAATTTATGCTCTGTTATCTCCTAAAACAACATAGTTAGTTGCACAGAGAAAAGGTATCACACCCAAACTACTCTAAAATTTTAATATGAATGACTACAGAACATGCACATGGAACTATTAAAGTTCCATTACATTTGCCAACTAATTACTGTTACTTTACTCTGAATTTATTCCAAGTTTATATCTACATAGCACAGATTTAAAAATACATAACTGTAAAAAGAAATCAGTCAGATAAGAACACTTAGCATGCACAAAAAATGTTATTTAAAAACTCATTATTAGATTTCTTAACAGTCGAACCCATTGCTTCACATGCCATACTGTAGAAATGGGTATATAATTTAAAAGCTACTTACCTGCCCCCAAATTTAACTAACCCTTCCCACTCTGTCTTGTTGTTGCCTGCCCCAACCAGAAGGGGAATGGCCTCAGTGGTCAGACATGAGGGGTTCTGTGGGATCTGGGTGATCAGCCTGGGCTTCACAGAGTAAATCCAGAGAAGCTCTGTGAGGGTCCAGAAACCGAACTGTCAACACTTGCTGCTGAGTCTGAGAGGCACAAAAACACAGCATCACTGCCTCTCCAGCACATTGAGTCCTGCCTAAAAACAGATGAGCCTTCCAGAAGCAAAACTGGGGTCTCAGTTGCAATAAAGCATGGCTCAATTACTTTTGGACACAGTTCTGACAAAATGCTAAGAGGCAGTAATAAGCAACTCTAACAGCAAGTGCAGACAGTTAAATTTCCAGAATTCCAGTCAATGGAATAAACAAAGCCAGCAGGAAGTTTCTTTAATTTACAGAAGCAATTTGTACACAAATTCATACATCTTACTAGAAGTTAAGGGGCTATAAGGTATGGATTATTTGGAAACAAATATTTTTGGCTTTAATGTGGAGATTATTCTTTGTGCGACCAAAAATTATGCCCTTGCTAGACTACATATACAAATGGATCTCTAGTACTCAAAGCCTCTTATCTTTGATAGTTTTCAGTGATATCTGAGATACAGAGGAATATTATGACCAATAGTTTCTGAACTGCTTCCATACATACACATGTTTTATTAGAAGGGACTTTTTAAAAAATATATATTTTTAATGATTTCAGAGAGGAAGGGGAGGGAGAGAGAGATAGAAACATCAATGATGAGAATCATTGATTAGTTGCCTCCTGCACGCCCCACACCACAGGGATCAAGCCCGCAACCCAGGCATGTGTCTTGACCTGGAATCAAACCAAGACCCCCCTAGTTCATAGGTCGACATCTACCACTGAGCCATGCCAGCTTGAGAGGAGGGATATTTCTTAACAGATAGTAGATCAAGAGTAAATGTTAAGTACAAGCATAACTAGTAGTCTCAGGTATAAGACTAGAATTCTAAGAAAAAAGTCCAGGGTTAAAGGCAAATGAGAGAAACAATTTCAATAGAATTTGGAATACTTTTCTGTAATTGTTGGATTTTTATACAGAGAAAATTTTCACTTTTCTGTTTATGAAATATAATGAAAATAATCCTAACAGCTATTGAAAATTTACTTAATGTAACTTCATTTCTTTTTGGGCAAAATCTTACCTTTTGTAAAGAAGCCCATTCACAGATTACCAAAGCAACACTAATTCTCTGTAAGGCAGATTTGGAGTTCAAATGGAAGAGTAGTAACTGGCTAAGGGATTCAGCCGGTTTAATTTCTTGGGTTACTACATTTACGCCTGGATCACAAATACAGCAACAAAGTGCTCCTAACAACCTAAAAGGGAGAAAAAAGAAGTTATTATACAAGTTACTTGAGGTCAACTTTCCCCTATTGAAGCTAACTTTTCCCAAGAAGACATAACTCCAATCTTAACTTCACAAAAATATGTAAATCCTATTTAAAACTTCAAAAAATTAAGTTTTCTTACATGTTAATTTTTTCTTCCTTTGTAAGTCGTGTGATGGAGGAAGGATTAATAGACACATTAGAGGAATCTTTGTGTTAAATGACTTTTGAACTTATGTATACTCACTTAGCTGCCATCATTCTGGCCCGCATAACCACAAAATCCCTGGTGGCAGGGTCTTCCATAACAGTGTCTGCACCTGCAATGTACTCCTGAAGTACTTCTTTACTCTGGCTTTGGCCTTGGCGTATCTTACTACTTGTTTTTTCCTAGAGGGAATGAAAAAATACCATAAAACAATAATTAAAGAGTAATCATTAAAGTTTAATAGCAACATCAAAAATATTTTAATTTGTTATAATCTCAGTAAAATACAGTTCTCACAAAATTTCAATGAATAAAAATTACTATGCATTTTGTTAAGATCCGAATAAAATAATTCCCCATTAAGCTAAATTAATAAAATCACTTAAAATAAAACAATACAGATTTCCTGTGTGATTACCATATTAATTATTGTGAGCTAAACATACAAATATAGTATGGCCCTTTCACTTACCTTGGCTTTAGCTTTTACTTCCAGCAACATATTTAAATCAATAGGTAAATGTGAAGGCTGCATCATTAAGCAAAGCCAAGCACCCATCCATGGACAAGCAGCTGCTACCACATACTGAACTGAAGCCTTGCTCAACAATTCCATCCAAACCTACAGAGTGAAGGGGGAACATGAAAGTGAAATTTTTCTAATAAGGGCTACTAAAGCCTAATACTTATTTTTAGGGAAAGTGAATTGAAAAAAATAACTTTCAAGAAACAATATAGATTAATTTTAAAATTCAATATAGAGGCCTATTTTAAAAATACTGGGGTGTTTGTTTTTTGTTTGTTTTTGTTTTTTGGTAGATTTGTACATTTTAAATGTAATAAAAAGAAAGTTTTTAAATTTTTCAATATTTTATGAAAGTCATTTAAAATAAAAAATATCCATAAAATAATTGTCAAAATCTCAATAAGTCAATGAAATTCTTTGCATATATTATAAAGTTCAATACTAATACAATTCCACATTCAAGTCACTTCAAGATACTGTTATACTGCATAAGAAGCCTATTTTTTTTTTAAAGGCCTTGGAAGGTAAGCCTGTCCTAGACCCACATCTTTTTTTTTTAAAATATATTTTATTGATTTTGTACAGAGAGGAAGGGAGAGAGATAGTTAGAAACAACGATGAGAGAGAGTCATCGATCAGCTGCCTCTTGCACACCCCCTACTGGGGATATGCCTGCAACCAAGGTACATGCCCTTGACCGGAATCGAACCCGGGACCCTTCAGTCCCCAAGCCGACGCTCTATCCATTGAGCCAAACCGGTCTCCGCAAGAAGCCTATTTTCTTGTCTTACCTTGCAGATCTTCAGACTTTTCAAATCTCTTAAGATGATTTCTAATTTCTTAAAAATCCCTGACCAACAAACAGTATAGCAATTATGAAAAAGTTTAAAAACTATCAAGTTACTAGGAAAAGGAGTACATTGGTTACCTTGTGAATGAGGTCCAGAATTTCCTGGCTGCTTTCTAAAACACAAAATTGAAAAATGTGTCGAAGCATATCAGGCAGAATAGGTATAAGCCAAGATGAAGAGTTCTGAAAACAAAAACAGAATCAAAGCATGTAAGCAAAGCATGTAATTCAAAGGTATTAATTAGCTTATTTGAAGAGTTATAAATAAGTCAAATAATCTCAAGTATTACCATAAAAAGACTAGTTAGCTTTATCAAAAAGGTTCAACTAGTGATAAATTCTAACAAGATTTTAGAACACCACCACCATATTTACTATTCCAGTAGTTTGTAGAAATTGAATGGCATATAATATATAGGAAATTGGAGAAAGTCTGATTATGTTTAACAACTCTAAATTTTGCTTCAAAAATGTTAAAATCATTCTCTACATGGAAGGAAGCTCTAACCAGCAATATTTCCTTGGTTATATTATATATCACTGCTTTGTCAGGGAAATTTGAAAGATGATCAGATTGCTGCTGCTGTGCTGGCTGATCAGAATTTAAATTCTGCTGCTGTGTTCACCAATAATCCAAGTAAAGAATTATAAGATGATACTCAAATTAGAAAACTCTACTTTGAGTTCGCTATAAAATTAAGGCACAGGTTCTTAATCTATTTTGGTTCAGGGGCCCTTTGAAAATCTGATGAAAACTATGCACACTCTTTTCTTTGAAAAATCACAGTTACATACATATTTAGGTGTAACATTTTGCTCCCAATTTCAGAGGATTCAGGGATTCCCTTATACCCAAATTTAGCACCTCAACCTAAGAAATTTTTCAACAATTCAGAAGCTCACCTAAAGTAAGTAATCAAATAGTGCTCAACCATCTACTGTGTGCCCAGGATTCTCAGAAAGGAAACTCACATCTCTATTATTGTTGAAATAAGTACAAGCTTACTGAATAAGACTGACCAATTGAAAAATTCTAATAACTAATTCACAGTATCTATCACCATCCCCCCCCCCATAGTTTTTTAAAGCAAACATACGTTGTTTGAGAAGAGAAATTTGAAAATTTAAACTGAAATTTCAGGAAGCTACAAGTTCTAGGGATAATGCATAATGTAGAAAGCTATGTATAATTTTCTAGAGAATGAAAAACTAATGACTATCAAAGATAGGACCAGAGTTACTAGGTGTACCGGTTAATAATGGCTGATTTTGTAATCAAAGAAAACAAGATAATTTTAAGATAAACATCAAAAGTGCTTCATTCAAAGTAATGTCCATCGCTAGCTACACATTTCCCCATCTTTCAGGTAATTTGTGTATACCGTTCCAATAGAACTTTTGTTTTTAGGCAAACCATTCAGAGACTCAATTTTCCACTTCTTCGAACATTTTGAAGTGCTGCTCAGAAACTGCGCATGCCATCCATCAGAAGAAGTGGTCATCTGAAGGAGCAAGTCAATTTGAACCATGCTTTGATGGTGAAATGACCGGAATGTGCCAGAAGACATAGCAAAGTAATTTTGCTTCATGATATTGCACCATCACACACTTCAAAAGCAGTTAAAGACACATTAAAAAAATCTTGCCTGGGAAGTATTAACCCACTTACTGTATTCAGGAATTCAACGGTCAAGGGCATGTACCTTGGTTGCGGGCACATCCCCAGTGGGGGGTGTGCAAGAGGCAGCTGGTCAGTGTTTCTCTCTCATTGATGTTTCTAACTCTCTGTCCCTCTCAATTCCTCTCCGTGTAAAATCAATAAAATATATTTTTAAAAATAAATAAAGTGATGAATCACATTGAATTCTTTCACTAATTTGGTATGAAATCCTACTCTGGTATGAAATCCTACTCTGGTCCACTGTAAAACCACCCTCCACCCCACCCCCAACAAACCCAATTCTGTATTTAGATAATTTACAATGCCTTATTCTATTCATGTACTCAACCAATATTTATTGAAAGTAGCTTAATATTTATACTTCAACTCCCCTTTCCATATCTTTATGAAATATGTCCAAACCAAAGTATGCTAATATTCTCTAAAGCCAAAGTCTATTTTTTTGCCTTTCTTTCCTTAAATTTTCTTAAAACCTGGACTAAGTATACTTCAGATTCCACCTCAATCTTAGGTATATCTTTCTGCTAAATATAAGCTTCATGCCAAAACCTGCCTTTCAAACATGATTCACAAAGTGACTGTATGCAAATGGAATGAAAAAGTTCACCCAGTTCAGAACATAGCAAAACAAGAGATCATGTCCAGAAGCATACCTTTCTAGATCTTAGAGTCAAAGTTCTGGCTACAACAGTTAGTGGCTATCAATACTAGTTAATCTAGATATTCCAATAAAGGAGTTTACTGATAGACATAATACATTCATAGATCACCCTGATTGCCTCTGAGGGCTTCTCCGCCTCCCCCTGCTCCTAAGGGGCGATCGGGACAGCAGCCGCCACTCGTAGATCCCACTTGCATCAGCTGCTGGCACCAGCCCCAATCGCTCCGAGCTATCAGCAGTTTGCAGATGTGGGGGGGTGGGGGGGGCCTACAGTGGAAGGGGCCAGGCCAGGGCTAGGAGGATGGGCTGAGACCCGGCCCTTGTGCCTACTGCAGCCTCGTGGCCCACAGTTCCTTTCAAAGTGCACAAATTCATGCATTGGACCCCAAGTATGCATGTATGTTTGTATGTATGTATGTATGCATGTATGTATGTGTGTGTTAATAAGCCTATGGACTTATTAAAAAAAAAAAAAAAAACCACAAAGGGAAGAAATTTTATAACTTTAAAACCATGAAGGGAAGAAATTTTGTAACTTTAAAAGGACTATCCAAGTGAATTTAAGAATACAGTTTTTATATAAAAAACATTTAGATAAAAACCACAAAACTAAAACAATAATAAAGTAAAAACTCTGAATAACCCATGCCAGATCAATTGAGGATTACAAAACAGACCTGATAGTTTTTCCTCAGAAGAGTTTAAGTAGACAAAATAAAAAAGATAATGCAAAACAAAATTTAAAGATGCTGATTCAACCGAAACCGGTTTGGCTCAGTGGTAGAGCGTCGGTCTGCGGACTTAAAAGTCCCAGGTTCAATTCCGGTCAAGGGCATATACCTTGGTTGCGGGCACATCCCTGGTAGGGGATGTGCAAGAGGCAACTGGTCGATGTTTCTCTCTCATCGATGTTTCTAGCTCTCTATTTCTCTCCCTTCCTCTTTGTAAAAAATCAATAAAATATATATTTTTAAAAATAAATAAATAAATAAAGATGCTGATTCATACAAGTGCAACACAGTAGCATGCTGCAGATTAAAGCAAGTCTATATGAAATATCCCTAATTCACATAGAAATGCATGGTTAGTGAACACAAAGGAGACATTTATCTGTACTATAATCTATTGTCTAAAATAATTAAATGCTTTTTAAAGATCACTGGCTCAAACTGTAGTACTTATAAATAAGAGCATGAAAAATGAATGAATTCCTTATAATATTTCTCTAAATTCAAAATTGACCCATAGGTTTATTTAAAAAATAGGAATGTGAATATTACCTGAATGATTGCTATAGACATTTCAGTGTGTGACTTCCAAAGTATTCTATCTTTGGAAATATCATGCTCTTAAAAAATTGAGTTATCCTTAAGAAGCAAGTGCCTAGCAATTTCATTGTTAGTCTTTAGAAGTACTACAGAGCTTCAAATGTAGCCTTCTAATCTGAGATGGGTTCTGCCAATCATCAAATTCATCAGCCAAGACAGAATAACAGGTCTTTGATAGGAAGGGACTATTCAATTTTTCATAATATTTACTGAGGGCCTTCTAAGTGTTAAAACACTATTTCAAGTGCTAGTAATGTAATCTACATGAAAATATTACTATTAAAATATACCTTCATCATGATTATGTCTACATGGTCACCATCTTATTTCTACTAGGCCCAGCATTCTCTTGATCCTTGGATATACAGTAACAGTAACCTGATGATCCAATTTACTTTTAAAAATTAATTTACATAAATTTCAAGATTGCTATATATAGTTATTCCTTCTTACCTGGTCCTGTGTTGATAATAACGTAAACAGAGTTTCCAATGCTGCTCTTCGAACTGATGATATAGTGTGATGCAAAAATGGCCAGACACGTGGAACTAAAACTGTGAGTGACTGTTGAATACTAATAAAGAAGACACAAGTTAATCTAATTATTCTCAGTTGAAACTCCATTGATACATTATATAAATATCATTTCCTGGTGGACCTATTATCTTTTTAGAGGAGTAAGGTCTAAAAATATAATTTTCATATGAACCTTCATTTAATATCCTCATTTAAAACTGTTATTACAGCACTAGTATAGCCAGAGCAAATAGTCATAAAGAACCAAAATATTAATATTAGATTTTTCTATGGTGCTAATGTCATAAATTACCTTTATCAAATTAGAACTTTCCAATACAATGTTTTTATTCTCAATCTGTTCTTACTTTAAAAAAAAAAAATGGGACATGTATCTTAGCTGGTAGTAAACCTACACAAATCAGGACTGCTAATCCTTACTCCTATCCTGTGGGCAACCATAACATATACATCACTTACATCCACTCTGAGGCCATCTCTGCCACATATCAAATGAGCAAAAGGTGGTATGGTAGTAGCTTTGAAATGTATCCTGATTTATTAATAGCATTACTAAGTTAAGAAAACTCAAAAATATCTTCCTTCTTACAGGTTAGATTTTAAATAGGGAAGCAAACAAAGCCACATCTAGGCTAACAACTTGAGCCATAAGACTCCTGTCACATCCATGAGTGATTTATAAAAGTTACCTGGAATAAGGAAATGATTTGTAAGTAGCATTTGGAATACATACCTCTGTAGAAAAAGGCATGAATAAAAAATATGTCAATGTAACTATTTATCTGTTGTTATGTAGTTCCTCTCAGAAGGCCTATCTTTTAATACTTCAATACTTGAAGGTTTGTATAAAAAACATGACTTCTTACATTAATTTACACATTTAGTACACATGCAACATAATCAAAATATGTAAAAGCACAGTAACAAAGTCTTGTTAATAGTGTAACTCCTCATGCTCCAAATTACATGCTGCATTTCTTCTGACATAAACTAAAATTATCTGCCAAATAGCACAATATATGAAGCAAATGTTCCAATAAAGCAATTTGGGGGGGGGGGGGATTAAAAAATACTTTATTTCACATTGTGGCAACAAACCTCTTACTACATTGTTTCATTTTCATTTTCTTTCATTTTCATTTTGTAGCTTTCCTAACTCTATCTAGTTGGTGATTTTTTTAAAAGTCCTAACTTCTTTATTTAGACCAGGTGTCAATAAATCTAAGGCCCAGACTAAATCCACTCTACCTGGTTTTTAAATAGAAGTTTTATTGGGCCGAAACCTGTTTGGCTCAGTGGATAGAGCGCTGGCCTACAGAATGAAAGGTCCCTGGGGTGGATTCTGGTCAAGCACATGTATCTTGGTTGCAGGCACATCCCCAGTGGGGGTGTGCAAGAGGCAGCTGATCAATGTTTCTCTCTCATCAACGTTTCTAGCTCTCTATCCCTCTCCCTTCCTCTCTGTAAAAAAATCAATAAAATACATATATTTTTAAAAAGTTTTATTGGAAACAGATATATTTACTCATGTATTGTTTATGGCTGCTTTTGTGTTACATTAGCAGAGTTGAATAATTCTGACAAGAGATCACATAGCCCACAAAGCCAAAAATATTATCGCAGAGTTGAGTAATTTTGAGAGATCACATGGCCTGCAAAGCCATAAAGATAATTATTTGACTTCACAAAAAGGTTGCCAATCCCTAAGGATAATTAAAAGCTCATGCATTTTGTAGCTTGTGAAGAACTTTCACAAGATTAACTCATTTACTCCCTATATGCACTATCACCTCAATTTTTCTATTTATTTACTTGTACAATCTAAAAAGCAGGGAATACATTAATTAGCTGATCTTCATTTCAAATATTAGGATAAAAAAGTAAATTTTTTTATTTATGTTTTTTGGATTCATTCAATCTCTCTGCCTTTGCACATTATATTTGTGCACCGGTGGGGTCCCTCAGCCTGGCCTATGCTCTCTCACAATCCAGGACCTCCAGGGAATGTCAAACTGCTGGCAAAGCAGCAGGCGGCCAGGGAGATACCCGAGTCCAGGCCAGGTGCCGCGTCACTCCTGCTCATCACGGCCCCGCAGCGCTTGCCACCGCTCAGTAAGCTTGCTGAGTGTTGCTCCTGCTGTGGGAGTGCACTGACCAAAGGGCAGCAGCTCCTGAGCTGAGTGTCTGCCCCCAGTGGTTAGTGCGTGTCTTAGCGACTGGTGAAACAGTTGACTGGTTGCTTAGGGTTTATATATATAGAAGATTATTATGTATCCTCTTCCTGATGAGTAATTCTTGATATCAAGAACAAGAGTTGAAGTAAACATTACAAGGGAAAAGTGCCTAGAGGAGCAAATTTTGGAAAATGCAATGCTGATGTTCAATGATAATTCTAGTAACTAAATATCACTAAATTAGCCGGGACTGGTTTGGCTCAATGGATAGAGCGTTGGCTTGGAGACTGAAAGGTCCCGGGTTCGATTCCGGTCAAGGGCATGTACCTTGGTTGCGGGCACATCCCCAGTAGGGGGTGTGCAAGAGGCAGCTGATCGATGACTCTCTCTCGTGGGTGTTTCTAACTCTCTATCTCTCTCCCTTCCTCTCTGTACAAAATCAATAAAATATATTTTAAATATCACTAAATTTAGGGCAAAAATCCTATATTGTGGAGCAAGAGGTGAAAATAAAATGCAATAATTATATTACTGAAGTCAACTATTATAAGATGAATAAGATGAAGACTTCTATAACCAAAGTAACCCACGCATAAAAGAATATGAACTTTTTAAATTCCTGTCCCAAATGTGCTATTGGCTAGATAGTTTGGGAGGGAGGGAGGGGACTTCCTGAAAATTGTAGTCTTTGGCATCACCAACTTTAGTACTGTTCCTAAAAGCTAGACTATTGCCCTAGCTGGTTTTGCTCAGTGGATAGAGCATCAGCCTGTGACTGAAGGGTTCCAGGTTCAATTCCAGTTAAGGGCACATACCAGGGTTGCAGGCTCAATCCCCAGTAGAGGGCATATAGGAAGCAGCCAATCAATGATTCTCTCTCATCACTGATGTTTCTCTCTCTCTCTCTCTCTCTCTCTCTCTCTCTCTCCTCTCTCCCTTCCTCTCTGAAATCAATAAAAATATTTTTTTAATTAAAAATAAAAGCTAGACTATTGTATTTTTAGGCTTTAAATATCTGAAAATTTATGTAAGTACTTCTTACTTTATTCCACTAAATAGAAATAATTACCTGCATTGTTGGACTTGAGGGTAAGTTAACAGGGATGAAAGAAGAGTCATAATACTATTGGTTGAAGCTGTTAGATCATCTAGTTCCAGAAGAGCATCCCATAATGTATTTATAATGAAGGGTACCTGTAAGATCAGTTATCAAGGAAACAGTTACTAACTTTACACAATATATTCACAAGCCATGCCAGATTGTTTGTATCCCAGGAGTCATTACTAATTCAACAACATATACATTCCCAAGGATCTTGAATAGAGTCAGTTTTGAGCAAAGTTAAGAAGGGGATATTATTTGCCTTTAACAATTTCCTACCCATTTTTAATGCCACTCACAATTATTTTGAAACTTCTCTTCCTAATTGGGAGGGAGAATTCAGGAAATAAAAGATCCAATACTTTATGTAAAAACTAAACTTTGAAAACAATACAGCGTTGACATATAGACATGACCTTCTTTGTAATTTTATTTAAAACAGTACTAAAGACAAATTTCATTTGTAAAATACTGTTTGCTGCACTTCCAAATATACATGTTCTGGTTTTGATAATACAAGAGAAACAGATAGACCTTGAGAAGAAAGAGTCACTTCAAAAAATGAGACCAGATTAAAAAACAAAAAACTAAAAACAAAAATCAAAACAAATCAAGAGTAAACTAAAGAAGAAATGTTTGGCTTTTTCTCAAGGAAATAGTGTATGTGAATGGGAAGAACATTAATAGACACAATTCACTCTTCCTAAGGATATTGTATAATTGAATTATATATACCAGAGGGCTGTCATAAGAAAAATGGAGGGTAAGGGAAATAAAGTTGTCAATTTTTTTCCCTAATACTTTATACCTCAAATGTAAACAAGCTATATAGGAAGAATATTGAAAAAAAATAAATTTACCTTTTGTGTCTGAAGATACACAAGGCTTTCTACCACAGGTACTAATGATGCTGCAGCAACAGCTCTGACATCATCATCAAGGTCCTGGAGTCCTTCAATTATTTTAGTTAAAACTTTAGGCAATAAAGTATTAATTACATCCTGTAAAAAAGTACATCAAAATAAACTAATTTTCTGTAGTACAAACATTGTGCTTCAACATTTTTTATTAAACTTGCCATATAAAAATATAAATCCAAATTTTTATTTAAAAGGAATCACATAAACAGAAAGAAAAATACTATCAATAGGAGCCTATTTAGCTAATCTTATTTGCAAAAAGACTACAATATCAAGTACTTTATTATTCAGTGTGATTTAAAAAATCAGAACATGTTCTCAAGGTAAGACTATGAATTTCCTGTGTGACCACACATACATAGAAAACCCTGGTATTAGAACCTTAATGCCTATTTCTTATTCAACCCCACTGATAAACAAAAAGGGTATGAGAAGAGGGAAAGAAAAGCAATCCCTTCCTGCTTTTCTGTATTCTAATCTACTCTTTTTTCAAGTTCCTCAAGAGAGCCCGCCTTCAGAGGCCATTCCTGGGATCACATACAATGGAATCTCACCAAAATTGATCTTGCTATGAAACAACAGGTTTCCAAACCTAATTCATCATCTTTTGGTTTGTACTTAAATTGATATTTGTACCTGTCTCTATGACGCTATCTAAAAAAGCAAATCTTGAAGGACTTACTTACCAGTAACAGTAAGAATCTAGGGCCATTTCGTATAATTAATGAAAAGAACTGGGTGTGTGTGTGTGTGTGAAACTCTCCCATATATGCTTCAAAAACTGAATGTTTACCTGACGAACTGCCAAAGCATATTTTATTCCTAGCAGACCACCATGCCTAACTTCCCATTGTTCTTGTGTAAGTAACTTAAGCAGCACATCCACAGTCTTATGAACTCCTGTTTCATTCATGTGTTTTAACACCACACCTAATGTTTGAGCACAAGTTTCACGAACTGGTGCCACAACCTGCAAATGAGAAAGAAAGAAAATTCATATTTCAAAAGGCTTATCTTGCTGAATTTGAAATTTAATTGGGCAAAGCCTCTCTTAGGTGATACTTACTTCATCAGAAACAAAGTCTCCAAATCTGTCTAATGCAAAAACACAAAGGAGTCTAATAACCAAGTCTTCCAACCATTCTTGATGCTGCTGAATCATCTGTTAAACAATCATTTTTTAGTAATAAAGATCACTCTTTGTATTGGGGCTTGGAGAAACATATTAGGTCTAAAACAAAAAACTAAAATATTGGAATGGATTCTTTTAGCTGTAGGAACAATGACCAAAATATATTAGAGTTCCAAATGCTATCTTTAATATTAACCACACATCCTCTTATTAGATTCAGATACACTATACCAATATCTTTAAAATTCATAAATTATATTATACTACTTGCACTCCAAGAGAAATGAAGAAACTACTTAAGACTACTTTAATATCAACTGTATCTATCATTTACTTACTATCTATCCTGTTACCAGTGTCTCCATGCTACATCAATCATGTTGCTCACTGACCTCTAAAGTATCCTCTTATTCATTTTACTCTACTTTCTAATCCATTATGTGCTGCTCAAATATTCTTACTTCTATGTATTTTTCCACTCAATGTTTCTGAACATCTTTCCTGTGAACTTGTTCTTACTGTCTATAAATAAACTTTTTCCTAACCTCTTTACTTATACTCTTCCCCTCAAAATCACCTTTCCATATAATTCTTATTTTCCTTTCATTTCTACCTCATGGTACATGCTCTGTTCCTTCTCTAACTTGGAAAGAGTCAACTACTAAAACTTGATAATAACTGTTTCTTTACTAGACGTACCTCTTCTAAAGTACTGTCTCCCATTTTACCTCCACTTTTCCCATGAGCTTTAAGTATTTCCCTAAGTCCAGTGCCTGCACCGTGTCGAACCTAAAAATAACCAGAAAACAAATGTCAGAGGTTAAATGCTTAAGACACCAAATTTAACTTTTCTTTAATTTGAAAAGGGAATAATAAATTTTAAAGAAATTAAAATAAACTAAGTGACATTTCACAAAATGTTTTTTTTTTCTACTATCCAAGGAGAAATACATTTATAAATGTTATAATTTTGGTTATGTAAAACGTTTTTTAAATCAAGCTAAGATAATAGCTATTCTAAAACCCTCCCGAGATATATGTAATCTACTTGGCTGTCCCTCTTGTACCCTCTATTTGCATTCAGCATTATCCACATTAAAGAAAGTATCATATATTGTTCTCCATAGTCCCAATATCAATATTTTAGAATATATGCATCAAAACTAAGTTCTAACGCTACCAGTGTTAAGTGGCTAAAGAAGACAATTCAAATAAAATATCTCATGACTAATGCTTCACTATAGCCCTGTACCCTTCTGAAGTGACATTTGGAAGGTAGAAAACAGGCCACTGACACTGCACCCACTTATTCCAAGATCTCTTGTGAGTTAAAGCATGAATAGTTTTTAACAGAAATATTATCAAGGAGCAGAAAGACTGCTAAAAGGTACTCCAAACCAGTGTCTTTGAAATTACCCAGAGGCCAACATAAGAGGAAGAGAATGGTTTGAGACCAGCAAACCTCATCTTCAACCAGAGGAACTTTACTTTCATCTCTCTTACATACTAGGACCTGTTAAAAGATTTTCTTTGAAGAAATATATTTGAGGTTTAAAAGCTGTTGTGGAAATTTCTCCTTTTAATCAAAATTGTCCAAAGGAAATTTTTACTGTCTTGGAGAGATGTACAAGCCTTTGTATTATAGAGACTGAACTATAATATAATACAAAGAAATGAACAAATCACTAAAGAAATACAACAAAAATGATATGAAAGGCAAAAATCAGTCCAAAGTTTTCTACTTGGTAATATAAAATGCCTTGAGCAGTGGTCCTGAAAAGGACACGAGTGAAAAATAAGAAGCATGACAAAACAGATTGTGCTCAACATGGTTCCCTTCATTGGCAAAGAAAATAAAGCTAGAAAAATTATACCAAAGAAACTGTAGACAGCGAAACTAGCAGGAAATGTGGAGAAGTGAGGGCTGGCCATGCTCCCATAAGTGGCGGCTGAGATTCAGGAGAGAAATCTCAGCTACCGGGGTTCCTCCTGACATCATTCCTAGAGCACTCAGCTCAGGTGGTCAAGGAAACTGCATGACTGGGTCCCACAGGACACCTACTACATAAGGCTATGCTACCAAGACTGGGAGTATAGCAGATTTACCTAATACACAGAAACAAACACAAAAACGCAGCCAAAATGGGGAGACAAAAAAACAGACCCCAAAGGAAAAAAACAGGTGATATCTCAAGGAAAAAAAAAAAAAAATGAAATGGATGCAAGCAATTTATCAGATATAGAGTAAAAAATAAAAATAAAAAAAAAGAGGGGGGAGGGGTTATAAGGATGCTCAAGGAACTTACTAAGAACTACAACAGCATGAAAAGAACACAAAAAAAAAACATAAAAAAAAAAACAGCAGCCTTAAATGACACACTAAATCAAATGGATTTGATTGATATCTTCAAAGATTTCACCACAAAACAGCAGAATATATATATTTTTTAAATGCACATGAAACATTTTTTTAGGACAGAACACAGATTAGGACACAAAAAAACTCTCAGTAAATTTAAAAAGAGTGAAATCATGTCAAGCATCTTCTCTGATTGTAATAGTATAAAACTAGAAATCAATCACAAGAAAAAAACCCTGAAAAACAAAGACATGGAGGCTAAACAACAGGTTACTAAACAATGAGAACAAGGAAGAAATCAAAAGATACCTTGAAAAAATGAAAATGAGAACACAACAACCCCAAAATCTATGGGACATAGTGAAAGCAGTCCTAAGACAGAAATTCGTAGCATTACAGGCCTACCTCAGGAAATAAAAAAAATAAAAAAAACTTAAATAATCTAACTTTAAACTTTTTTTAATATATATTTTATTGATTTTTTACTGAGAGGAAGAGAGAGGAATAGAGAGCTAGAAACATCGATGAGAGAGAGACATCGATCAGCTACCTCCTTTACATCCCCTACTGGGGATGTGCCCGCAACCAATGTACATGCCCTTGACCGGAATCGAACTTGGGACCTTTAAGTCCGCAGACCGATGTTCTATCCACTGAGCCAAACCGGTTTCGGCCTAACTTTAAACTTAAAGAAACTAGAAAAATAACAATGAAGCCCAAAGTGCATAGAAGGAAGGAATAAAGATCAGAGCAGAAGTAACTAAAATAGTCTAAAAAATACAAAAGAGCAATGAAACCAAGGGCTATGTTCTTTGTGTGTGTGTGTGTGTATGTGTTTTTTAAAGACAAACAAGACTGACAAACCTTTAACCAGAATAAATCAAGAATAAGGAGGACACAGATAAATAAAATAGAAAGAGAATAACTAACACCAAAGAAATACAATTGGACAATCTGGAAGAAATAGATACATTTTTAGAAACATACAATCTTCCAAAAGTGAATCAGGAAGAATCATGAAATCTAAATAATTAAATTACAACCAACGAAATAGAAGCAGTAAAAAAATTCTCAACAAACAAAAGTCCTAGACTGGATGGCTTCACAGGTGAATTTTACCAAATACTAAAAGAAGAACTAACACCTATCCTCAAATGATTCCAAAAAGTTCAAGAGAAGACTTCCAAGCTCATTTTACAAAGCCAGTATTTTCAAAAACTTGGTATAGACACTACCAAGAAAGAAAATTATAGGTCAATATCCTTAATGAACACAGATACTAAAATCTTCAACAAAATATTAGCAGACCAGGTCCAGCAATACATTAAAAAGTTCACGCACCATGATCAAATGAGATTTATTCTGGGAATGCAAGGTTGGTACAATATCCACAAATCAATAAATGTGATATACCACATAAACAAATTGAAGGACAAAAATCATATGATCATAACAATAGATGCAGAGAAAGCATTTGATAAAAGCCAGCACCCATTTATGATAAAAACTCTCAGCAAAGTGGGAACAGAGGAAGCATACCTCAGCATAATAAAAGCCATATCTGACAAACTCACAGCAACATCATACTCATACAATGCACTTGACTGGAATCGAACACAAGACCCTTCATTTGCAGGCTGATGCTCTACCCACTGAGCAAAACTGGCCAGAACAAGTTGAAGAGATTAAGCAAACAACTCTGAGACACAGACAACAGTATGGTAAGAGGATAAAATTTATAAAGAACTTAAAAAAACTCAACACCAAGAAAAATCCAAAACTAATCCAATATAAAATGGGCAAAGAACCTAAATAAACACTTGAGTTGGGGATGATAAATACACAATACAATATATAAAGGATGTATTATAGAACCGTATACCTGAAACCTACATAATTTTATTAACCAATGTCACCTCAATAAATTCAACTTAAAAATTAATACCAAAAAAATAAAATAGGTTTAAAAAGAAAAGAAAGAAATCATACCTCCCAGGAGGGATTAAAAAGGTCATTGCAAAGTTCTTCACAAAAGCTTTCCAAAGGCCATTCATTTGTCTAAATAAAAAACAATCAATATTACTACTAAATCAAAAGGTCTATTTTATGCTAAAAATTTAATTCAATAAAGTATATTTATGTAGAGCTATAATAATAACAGTCAGTCAGGTCTTAACATGCTTAACTAGTTAAAATTTCTATTAAGATTTTTAATACAATTTATTTCAATTGACAGATTATTAAATACTACCTACAGACACATTAGTATGAAAAAATTATAAACAATTTCAAAGGACACTTTAGGCCATTTCAATAGTACCTCTTCAATTAAGGAAGAACTATCTGGAACATTATCAATCAAAACTTTGGAATCATTTGCAGACTGATTAATAACAACATTTGATATTTTTCGTCTCTTTTCTTCTGGCTCTCCATCAGTGCTATCGTTGCTAAAAATAAATAATAAACAAACAAATAAATAAATAAAGCCACTGTTTGAAACGTGAGTGATAATGTGAATCACAATAAGAAAACCCATCATTTGAACAAATGTTTTGGCATATTCTTATGAATTATTTATAATTTTATATATCAAATAACTATTATTAACCACTTGATCACTGAGTCAGTATGGCTCAGTGGTTGAGCATCGACCTATTAACTAGAAGGCCACAGTTCGATTTTATTGACTCATTAATAACATGAGAGAGAAAAAAGAATGTGAGGCCCATGAGTTTAACCATAGAATTCTTTCCTATAACAAGTTAGGCAAACAAGCCTTAATTATTAACTGTTATTTGGTTTAGTCATCAGCCTAAGAAACAGGTAATGTAATACAATAATAGTTTTCATTTTACTAATGCACTATTTCTTAACTTGTGGCCCTTACACCATCATCTTTCTAACTTCATGCTTTACTACTCTCATTTCCATCCACTCATCCTGGCTTTATGGCCCTTCTTTCTATTTCTTGGATACTCCATGATTAAGGCATTTACACTGTTGCCTCTGCCTGAAATGTGCTCCCCTTGGAAGACCTTCAGGCCTCATTCAGAGTTCATAATTAGTAAGGAAAACATCTGCATGTAGATTTTTCTGGGAAGTTGTCCTAGTCCCTATAATAGTAAATACTCTCTGACAGATGAGCAAGACTATCCAAATGGCACTCCACAGCTAGAGACAATATCAGCAAAATGTTTTAGAGATCAAGCAGACACAGATTTAAGGTATATAGCAGTACTATTTTAAATGAATAGCAGAAAAAGATTTCTACCTCTTCTCATTGGTTTCCGCTGCATCCCTGGATCTCTGTTTTGCAAATAACTTGGCCATTCTTTTAGCTTTATTCTTTTGTCTATTGCTCATTCCTGCTCGAAATTCTGAGTCAATAAGTTCAGCTGCCTGGAGAGTCTAAAATAATAAAAGAACAAAGTTTGAACTTAAGAAGTCAAAATAAATATCCATAGCCTCTGCTTGAAAAGAGGAGTACATCTATAAATTTCACTATATACAAATTGATCACATTCTTTTTTGAGAGTTTTATGCTATTCCACTGTTTGGCTATACCATAATTTCACTCTCATTTTCCTTTTTCCCTGTTCTTCCAAATCCCAACAGATGCTCATGTTTCTTAATTTTTCTTATGTCATGGATGTGACACAAAGGTATGATCCTAACCCACAAAAAAGACATGAGATTTCAAAATAACCATAATACGCCGAATCCGGTTTGGCTCAGTGGTAGAGCGTCAGTCTGCGGACTGAGGGGTCCCGGGTTCGATTCTGGTCAAGGGCATGTACCTGGGTTGCGGGCACATCCCCAGTGGGGGGTGTGCAGGAGGCAGCTGGTCGATGTTTCTCTCTCATCGATGTTTCTAGCTCTCTATCCCTCTCCCTTTCTCTCTGTAAAAAAATCAATAAAATATATATTTTTTAAAATAAATAAAAAAATAACCATAATACCAATCAAAAAATTGTAATAATAAAGAATGTCAGTGAAAGAAACTGATAATTATCATCTGCTGAAAATTTAAAAATTATAACCAGAAATGATTGGTCCAGCATCCTATAGTCAACATACCCCAATAAGTACCCTTCTTCTAAAGCACTCACTGCCTACTGTGTTGTTGTTTTTTAATCTCTTCTCCATTCATGTTAGACATTCTAGAGGCTATGAAGTTAGAACTGCTTTGAGCCCAAGTCTCAAAATCCTTTCTGACATTAACTAATTACGATTCAAATGAAATTTACCATTCTACAACCAATTAAGGCCACTGTATGAATGCAATGCTACAGTCTTGACCCAGGGACCATTGGTGCACATATCGATATAAGGCAAAGCAGCAGTAATGAGTTAATGCAGCAGTCACTCTTCCTAAAGGTCCACTACAACCAAACTTGGATCCTTCAAACAATAAACTGGCAGTTACCTATCCCATGTCCAACTATTCTGTATATTTACTATTTTCTCTAATATACCTGCCCATTTTCTTACACCATGCCCAATTACCACACTGTGATCACAATACTACACTTTTTTCCTCCTTTAATTCTATTTTCTTTTTTATTTATCCCATTTTGTACCTCATTTCTTTCCACTTTTTATTGGTTGTCATATTTTCTGCCTCTTTATACTTTTTTCCTTTTCCCTTCCAGAATGTGCAATATTGTCTGCAAAGGTAATTCATCATCACACCCACAACCCTAAAAATATAACGTTGACAAATTCTAATAGTTAAGAGAGAACAACTATTATAAAGGCAAATAGACCATTCTCAACTTAAGTAAAGGGCAAGACCAAGGGAATCAGAAGGTGGTTTTATGATTGCAAAGCAGAAAATACTAACAGGGCTCACAGAACCCTAAAAGAATACTGCGAGGGCAAGAGGAACCACTGAAAAATAGTATTTCACTGGTATGTTAATTTTTCTGAGGAGAAAGCCACAGCCTATAATGAGTCTGGGGCATTAAAAAAAAAAAGAAGTGCACTGGCATCTATTGAAAATTGGAAGAACAGAGAGAAAAGAGGCAATACAGAACAAAAGTATGGTAGAACCACTAACAAAATAGCCTGAGGCTAGTACAAAAGGATGTGATCAATCTGTATATATTGATATTTAAGTTACATGAAGTTAGTAAAGGTAAACATGGCTTAAAAGGGCATACATACTTGTCTACACACAGAACATTTCAGGAAGGATACGTAAATAACTAAAAAAGGATTGCCTATGGGGTATGGAGACATGGATATCTATCAATTACTGGAAAGAAACTTCTTTTACTTCATATTGTATATGCTTTTCAAATGTTTAAGTCCTTTTTATCATGTTTGCTACTTTCTCAAATTAAAAAATGAATCACAGCTCTAAAGATTTTAGATTCATACCTGAGTAGGAAAGCCCTTACTATCCCATTCTGTCAAAAATGTATGTTTCCCTTTGCTAAAGAACAAAGGAAAGAGCAACTGGTGCAACTAGGATTTCTCAATATAAGAGGCTCCAAAAGGTCCACCACAGCTCTTATCTAATAGTCCAGTCTCTCTGTAAGGTAGGTTCAACTTCTATCTCTTTAAAATCTGTCACCAGAAACCCAATTTACAAAGACATTAGCAATGAACAGAATTAAGGACAGCATTTTTTTTTTAAATTGCAATTGCATAACAAAATGAAATCATCCCTTTGTATTATTGTTTAAAATCAAACAAATAAAGGTTTTACCTACAGGTTGTTTGTTTACAAAGGCTGCTGAAGTTGGGGTATAATCTAAATCTTCATCATTAAAGAGTTCTTCAGTACTCATTCCAATGGCTTCTCCCATATTAAGGCCAAGTTTCTTCTGTAATAGTTTTCGTTGGCGTGCTATCCTCTCTTTAGGATCCACTTCACCTTAAACAGAAAAGAATAAATTTCCTCCAAATTAGTTAAGAAGTATTCTAATACATGAGGATCAGACTCTATTAAAATACAAAAAAAAAAAAAAAAAAAAAAAAAGCCCAGCTGGTTTTGCTCAGTGGGTAGATCATCAGCCTGCGGCCTGAAGGGTCCCGGGTTCGATTCCAGACAAGGACACATGCTGGAGTTGCAGGCTTGGTTCCTAGTAGGGGGTATGCCGGAGGCAGCCAATCAATGATTCCCATCTTTTTTTTTTTTTTTTTTTTAATATATATTTTACTGGTTTTTTCCAGAGAGGAAGGGAGAAGGATAGAATTAGAAACATAGATGGGAGAGAAACACCGATCAGCTGCCTCCTGCACACCTCCCACTGGGGATGTGCCCACAATTAAGATACATGCCCCTGTCTAGAATCGAACCTGGGACCCTTCTGTCCGCAGGTCGACGCTCTAACCATTGAGCCAAACCGGATAGGGCTCTCTCTCATCTTTGATGTTTCTATCTCTCCCTTCCTCTCTGAAATTAATAAGAATATATATATTTTTTAATTTTAAATATAGGAAAAGAGAAGCTCAAATAAAACTTGACTTTAAAAAAAAATAAAATAAAATACAAAAAAAGTTTTAACTATTACAACACCCCTCCTGTCCTGGCTAGTTTAGCTTAATGGATATAGTGTCAGCCTGAATCCTGAAGGGTCCAGGGTTCGATTCCAACCAAGGGCACATGCATGGTCCCCAGTAGGGGGCGAGCAGGAGGCATTGATCAATGATTCTCAACATTGTGTTTCAATATCCTACTTCCTTTCTGAAATCAATAAAAATATATTTTTAAAAATTAAAATAAAACACCTCTCCTGACAATAAGCAAACCATACTTAGTCTTTAATAGTGGATAATTTAATGTCATAAGTTCTATTACCTAACCATTAGAGAATATTTTTCACTGAGACTTCCCCATTGCCCTGTCAAGTATATATAAATGAGATCTATTCCTATGGAAAAATGTATCCTTATTTTAATATAAGATTATTTTGCACACACAGGGCAGACTCCACCTTGTACATTCTCTGAAAGATCTAACCAACCTAAGAAACAAAACAAAAATTTTATTTGACAGAAAAGATCTCAACAAATACATGCTTATTCCAAGTGAGGCTTTTATGTATTCTGAGATGATATACCTCTAATAACAAAAATAAGGCACAGCCGAGACCAGTTTGGCTCAATGGTTAGAGCATCGGCTTGGGGACTGAAGGGTCCCAGGTTCCATTCTGGTCAAGGGCATGTACCTTGGTTGCGGGCATATCCCCGGTAGGGGGTGTGCAAGAGGCAGATGATCAATGACTCTCTCATCGATGTTTCTAACTCTCTCTCCCTTCCTCTCTGTACAAAATCAATAAAATATATTTAAAATAAATAAATACAATACAATAAAAATAAGGCATAAAAGCAGACAGATTTTAAATGTCCCAAATAAAACCTATACTACTTCACTGGAAAACAGATAAAAATTTATTACTTTAAAAACTAGAGGCCTGGTGCCCATCCCTCAGCCCGCCTGCACCCTCTCACAGTCCAGAAGCCCTTAGGTTATGTCCAACAGACTGCTTAGGGCTGCTCCCCATGTGCTGACAGCTGGACATCCTTAGTGCTGCTGCAGAGGTGGGAGAGGCTCCCGCCACCATACCCACCATACCTGTGGGAGCACACTGACCACCATGGGGAAGCTTCTGCATTGAGTGTCTGCCCCTGGTGGTCAATACACATCATAGCAATCAGTCGTTCGTAGTTCGATGGATTTACATATTACCCTTTTATTATATAGGATATAATTTTGTGCTTAAAAACAGCTAAGTTGCAAGATATGGCTCTACACAATTAGAAAAAATGTTAACATTTTAAAAACTATAATGATATGCTTCTAATAAGTTCTTATTGGACTAACCCTCCACAGATTATAAACTCTAGATACAATATGAAAAAATGAATACCTGAAGAATTGACTGGAAAAAGTACAAAAATAGGCATACACTTTAGAGAATTCTCAATACCTGGAAGAAGGGCATGCAATGGGTGAGTCTCCCAATTTTGCAGTTTTTAACCTGAGGGTAAACCAAATCCACGGTGTATGGGGCAGCTAAAAGCTGGATAAAAACAAAACAAAACACCCAGTCTCTCTGGCTTGAAGAACTAGAAGAGAGTCAGGGGTCACTACAGCTACTGGACGAGAGAGAAAACCCAGAAAGTAGAGAGCCAGAGAGAAAGAGCAAATTCTGTATAAACTCAGCCAAATCTCTGGCTGAATTCTGAACTTTGCTCACACAGGGCAGACTTCACACAGTCCAGCTAAAGCTAAAATTTGATCTGATATTTCAGCTGTTGGAATCTGTAATTTGAGTTGCACCAAATTAAATGCATGCTAAAACTAACAAGCAAACAAAAATCAAATCAACCAAAACACTTTGGAAGAATATAACAGATTCCAGCATGTGTGAGGGATACAATCCACAATTAACTGACATACAAAGGATCAAGAAAATGTAACCCATTCTCCAAAGAAAAGACACTCTGAGATAACCCAGATGTTGAAATTAGAGGGCAAGATTTTTCCTCCTCACCCAAGAACACTTTTTATTGATTTTAGAGAGAGGAATGGAGAGAGAGAGAGAGAGAGAGAGAGAGAGAGAGAGAGAGAGAGAGAGAGAGAGAGAGAGAAGGAGGGAGGGAGGAAGTGAGGAAGGAAAGAAGGGAAGGAGGAGGGGGAAACATCGATATGAGAAAGAAACTTTGACCAGTTGCCTCCTGTACGTGTCCCAACCAGGGATGGAATCTGCAGCCTGAGTATGTGCCCTGCCTGAACTCAAATCGAACCCTCCACCTTGCAGAATATGGGACAACACTCTCACTAACTGAGCCACATCGACCAGGGCAATGACAATATTTTTAAGTTGCTAGTTTAACAATGCTCAATTTTACATTACGGAAGATATTATCACAATAATGAAAATATAGGATACCCAACACAGAAATAGAAACTATAAAAAACGATCACCTTCAAGTGCATTGAGGACCTGTCTGAAGACTTGGAATGGAAAATTATCTATATGGGTTCTGCAGAAAGTGAAAAATACAATCAAGTTGTAGACTCTGTTTTAGTGGACCCTCTTCTTAGGAGAAGGCATATGTTTGCATTTCAGGCTGATACACCTAATCCAGGACTAATTCCGGATGCAGAAGTGATAGGTGTGTAACAGTGTGCTAATTATATGCATCGACTGAGGTCAAGCATTTATTAAATTTGGTTATTATGTAAATAATGACTATCAAGACAGAATTAAGGGAAAATTCACCAGTAAAACTAGTCTTTTCTAAGCTTCAAAGGAACATTTTGGCATCGAATCCCAGAATCACAAGATTCCATATTAATTCAGAAGATAACACAGAAAAACTGAAAGATGCAGAAAACAGTAATCCAAATCTATAATCACTTCTTTCAAAGGATGTATTACACCTTCAGCATCATAGGGATGTCAATCCATGTCAGAAAACTCACTGTCATGTTAGAATCCCACATGGACTGCATGTGACCACCTGCCATCTCTTTAGTACAAATTAAGCAATAAAAACACTCAGAACTATTTTCTTAAAATTTCGTAAGTCACAGTCACTGAGATACAATGTGAAGAATTTGTTTAAAAAACATCCTATAGAATGTTCATAAGACAACCAGTATTTGAGCAAATTGTAGACTATAAATACAACTATTTTGTTATTTTACTTGGTTCTGAAATTAATCTGATTAAAACATATACAGTGAAAAAATAATAATAAAGAAGAGAGGGGTGGTGGTGAGGGCATGTGCCAGGGGGTAGAGGAGGCCAGGGGAAGGCCAATGGGGGGAAAAAAGGGAGACATATGTACTATTATTTGTAATACTTTAAGCAATAAAAAATTTTTAAAAAAGAATATGGAGAAATGCACTAGCCAGTTTGGCTCAGTGGAGAGAGCATCGGCCTGTGGACTGAAGAATATTAGGTTTGATTCCAGTCAAGGACTCATGCCCAAGTCGTGGACTTGATCCTAGTGGGTGTGTACCGGAGGCAGCCGATCAATGATTCTCTATCATGTTTCCCTCTCTCTCTCTCTCTCTCTCTCTCTCTCTCCCTCTCCCTCTCCCTCTCCCTCTCCCTCTCCCTCTCTCTCTCTCCCTCTCTTCCTCTGAAATCAATAAAAATATCTAAATATAGAGAGAAAAATATAAAACAGAATTATTAGAAAGGACAAATACTGTATGATTCCACTTACATGAAATACTTAGATTATTCAAATTCATAAAGACAAAAAAAATAGAATAGTGGTTGCCAGGGGCCAGGGAAGGAAATGGAAATTGTTTAATGGGTATAAAGTTTCAGTGTTCTAAGATTAAAGAATTCTGGAGACTGGCTGCATGACAGTATGGACTTAATGGACTTAATATTACTGAACAGTATGTACAGTTAAAAATGGGTAAGATGATAAATTTTGTGTTATTTACCACAATTAAAAAATGAATACATCCTATAACAGTAATAAAAACTCTTTTAAAACAAAGTCCCAGCCCACCAAGCATGGCTGAACCTATGAACCAAGATCAGAACAAATGACCAGGTTGTGGGCTAGATTCCCAGTATGGACTACAGGAGGCAGCCGATCAACAGGTCTCTCTCATCACTTCTATTTCTCTTTTCCCTTTCCCTTACTCTCTGAAATCATTTTTTTTTTTTTTTTTTTTTTTTTTTTAAGCAGCAGCCCTGGCCAATGTTGTCAGTGGTTAGTGTCCTCCCCTGCACCAAAGGGTTTTTTGGTTCCATTCCCAGTCAAGAGCACATAACTGGGTTGCAGGTTCGATTCTCAGAAGAGTGCATGTAGGAGGCACTCAACAGATGTGGCTCTTTCACATCAATGTTTCTTGCTCCCTGTCTATCTTTCTCCCCTTCCTTTTGTCCCTCCCTATTCCTCCTTCTCTCCCACTCTCTCTAAAAGAAAAATTCAATGAAAAAATTCTAGTGTACTTGGGTGAGGATTAACAAACAAAAAAGAAATATTGCTCGTTCTGCCGCCATCTTGGTCCCGCGTCCCGTCCCCCGTCCCCCCCACGTTTCACTCCCGCAACACCCCCCTACACCCCCACCCCACCCCGCACAAAATGACCCGTGAAGCCGCAGAAACCGTCCCTGCTACAGAGCAAAAGTTGCCACAGCCACAGGCTGAGACAGGGTCTGGAACAGAATCCGAGAGTGATGAATCAGTACCAGAGCTCGAAGAACAAGATTCCATACAGGATATCCTGGATCAGGGTGGGGGGTTCCTTTGGGGCATGTGGTGGTTTGCAGGGCCCTGGTATCTGGATTTATCTTCTATAATTGAAACTTTGTAGCCTTGAGTGGAACCAAACCTCCTACTTGCTCCATGGTCTCAACCATTTTTGTTGGGATTTATTTATCTTCTATAATTGAAACTTTGTAACCTTGAGTGGAGGCCTGGGCAGGTCAGGGTGAGAGGAAAGCTTGGCTTTCTCCATTACCGGGGATATCAAAGCCTCCAGCTCACTCTGTGGCTGCAGCCATCTTGGCTGTGTTAATTTGCATACTTACTCCTGATTGGCTGGTGGGTGCAGCTTGTGGAGTGATGTTTAATTTGCATATTACCCTTTTATTAGATAGGATTTATTTATTATTTTTCCATATAAACAACTGTAAACCTACTTTTGCCTCACTCTGTACATATAGTACATATCAGTTAAGGGAAGAAAAATATTTATATGGTAGCTTTAGACCTAGTACTTCTGATTATCATCCCACTCACAGCACCTCTAAATCCTACCTGCAAACTTCAATTAATTTATATTTCATGACATGTTATATTTTGCATGAATAATACATAGCATATCAAGTGATAAATTAGTTTGAACACATGTGTTTGACTTTTTATAGGACTACTACATACCTGATTTTTCATCTTGTACTTCAAATTCTGCACCAGCAGATCCCAATAGTGATGCCCCATGTTGTAACAACCTACATATATCAAATCTGTCAAAATTCAATCGATCGGTAGTAGATGAATCTTCCATAGCATTTTCTGAAGTAGGTTCTAGATAAAGTTTAAAAATATTTAATTTGATCACATAGCCAAAATGTAAAATGAAAGAAAACAGCATTACTTGTGGTGGATGGGTAATATTTTAAGAAAAAAGGGAAAGTAGAAAAGCTACTGTGGATTTACTTATGATCAGCTCTTATTTATGAATAAGCTATTTAGTCGGTGACTAGCCTCCTATAAACTATCAGAATGTTAGTGGATGTATGAATAGTTGTTTTTTCTAAAGCACAATGTTATATGAAAAAATGCATCCCCCTTCATGTTGAAATACGTATAATAAATATGCTGTTTCCACTTACTATTAAATTGTTTTAAAAATACCAAGGTGGGCCGAAACCGGTTTGGCTCAGCGGATAGAGCGTTGGCCTGCGGAATGAAGGGTCCCGGTTTTGATTCCAGTCAGGGACATGTACCTTGGTTGCCGGCATATCCCCAGTGGGGGGTGTGCAAGAGGCAACTGATCGATGACTCTCTCTCTCATCGATGTTTCTAGCTCTCTATCTCTCTCTCTCTTCCTCTCTGTAAAAAAAATCAATAAAATATATTTTAAAAAAATAAAAGGTGGGCCAAGACCGGTTTGGCTCAGTGAATAGAGCGTCGGCCTGCGGACTGAAAGGTCCCAGGTTCGATTCCGGTCGAGGACATGTACTTTGGTTGTGGGCACATTTCCAAAGGGGGGTGTGCAAGAGACGGCTAGTGGATGGTTCTCTCTCATCGATGTTTCTAGCTCTCTATCCCTCTCTCTTCCTCTCTGTAAAAAATCAATAAAATATATTATTAAAAAAAAAATACCAAGGTGGCCCAGCCAGTGTAGTTCAGTGGTTGAGGATCAACCTATGAACCAGAAGGTCACGGTTTGATTCCCAGTCAGGGCATATGTCCAGGTTGTGGGCTCAATTCCCCAATGGGGCATGCAGGAGGCAGCCAATCAATGATTCTCTCTCATCATTGATGTCTGTCTCTCTCTTTCCCTCTCCAATCCTTTCTGAATCAATAAAAGTATTAAAAAATAACAATAAACTAAAATAAAAACACCAAGGTAACAATTTGAATTTATTATTATGCTAAACTGAAAGATAAACATATTCATATAACTAAAACTAATAAGCATCATTCCTCCCTATAACTGAGGAATATCTGGAACACAAAGCAACTACTTATTCAATAGCACTCACTTCTCAAAATATGAAGATACCAGAGACATAGAAGCATCAAGCAGACTGTCAAACCTCAGGGAAGGTTGGGGGCAAAGAGAAATCAACCAAAGCACTTATAAGCATAACCAATGGACACAAACAGTAGGGGGAGGGAGGAGGGCATGTACTATGGGGCACGAGAGGTCAGGAGAAAAAGGAGACATATATAATACTTTCAACATAAAGAATTTAAATTTTTTAAAAAGCTAATTATAATCACCTGTTAAATTGCTAAAATTATATCTGAGGCCTAAAAATAACTATAAAATGTTTTGTATGCTCTCCAAAAAGGTATGCCATTATAAATTTTAAAATATATTGTTAATTGTCCATTGGTTTGTTGAGCTGGTATTTGTATATAATTCATCCATAAACAAAGAATAATTGCTTCACTTAAAGAGAAGTGCTACAAATATTTTGTTTTCTAGTGATAAGCAATCTTACTATAAATTTTTAATGCCAGTGTAACTAATAAGTTTTGTAAAAAAGAATCTGAGTTCTACCATCTCTATATACCAAAATAATCAGGTGTAATAATCTGAAAAAGAAAAAGCTCTTTCTAAAAGTTATAACTTTTTCTAAATATTTCATTTGATTACAGAAAAGACAAATTAACATAATCACTGAAAATAATATGTGCCAGCAAATTAAAGCAAAAATTTTAGATAACTGAGACTTATAATAAAAGTGATAATATCAGCAGAAACTGGTTTGGCTCAGTGGATAGAGCGTCGGTTTGCAGACTGAAAGGTCCCAGGTTCGATTCTGGTGAAGGGCATATACATTGGTTACGGGCACATCCCCGGTAGGGGGTGTGCAAGAGGCAGCTGATCGATGACTCTCTCTCATCGATGTTTCTAACTCTTTCTCTCCCTTCCTCTCTGTACAAAATCAATAAAATATACTAAAAAAAAAAAAAATGTTTTTACTTATTTCAGAGAAGAAGGGAGAGGGAGAAATATAGAAACATCAATAATGGGAGAGAATCATTTATCAGCTGCCTTCTGCATGCCCATGCTGGGGATCAAGCCTGCAACCCTGGTATGTGCCCTGACCACGAATCGAATCATGATCTCCTGGTTCAAAGGTTGACACTCAACCACTGAGCCACACCTGCAGACTAGAATTAGTAATTTAAAAAATAAATACAGCCGAAACAGGTTTGGCTCAGTGTATAGAGCGTCAACCTGGGTTCGATTCCGGTCAAGGGCATGCACCTTGGTTGCAGGCACACCCCCGGTAAGGTGTGTGCAAGAGGCAGCTGATCGATGATTCTCTCTCATCGATGTTTCTCTCTATCCCTCCCTCTTCCTCTCTGTAAAATATCAATAAAATATATTTTTAAAAATAAATAAAATAAATAAATACAAAAACATTTTGTTTAGTAGTCTTTTTTTTTAAGCATATGAAAATCACTTTATTCAATGTCATTTTTTGATAAGGCTACATCAAAAGCATAAAAATTAAGACTTAAAATTAAAATTATTAAAATATAAAATGTATAGTTTAGTTAATCCTACAGTTTAGGTGTTTTACTGCAAATAGGTTTTCCACTTAAAAGCACCTTGTTTGGCCGAGACCGGTTTGGCTCAATGGATAGAGCGTCGGCTTGGGGACTGAAGGGACCCAGGTTCGATTCCAGTCAAGGGCATGTACCTTGGTTGCGGGCATATCCCCAGTAGGGGGTGTACAAGAGGCAGCTGATCGATGTTTCTCATCGATGCTTCTAACTCTCTATCCCTCTCTTCCTCTCTGTAAAAAATCAATAAAATATATATATTTAAAAAAAAAAAAAAAAAAAAGCACCTTGTTTGGTTCTTGGCACTGGATTCCACTCAGGTACATTTTTCACTATAGCTTCAACAGCTTGTCCTGCTGCTATCCGAGTATCCCAATTTGTACTCCTTAAGTATATCAACACCTTAAAAAATGATAAAACAAAACAGTTATATACCAGAAAATGTTGTTTGTTCAAGATAGCCAGATCAAAGAAATACAAATTTACACGTTATTAATGTATTATAATTTAGCAGTGGTCAAATTTATATAAAACATCTTGAAATTATTAACATCATTTATAAGACTATATCATTCACATGAATCACTACACCTTAAAAAGAATTTTTAATAAATGAAGACTTAAGAACATTTGAAAAATAACATAGCTTTTAACATGCTAAAAAGCAAAGTATATATTATTAAGTCTTATTTAATGCAAAAAGTTATAAAAATCTAGCAGAAAGAATAAGTGAGGTCAGTAAGATTGCAATAAAATCAATATGTAAAAAAATGGAAAGTGTTTCTATAAACATTCAATAAACAACCTGAAAATAAAATTAAGAAAATAATCCCATTTAAATAGCACTAAAAATTATAAAATACTTAATAAATTTAACAAAAGTACTACAATACTTGAATACTGAAAATTACAAAAACTCAAAATATTGTTGATAGAAATTAAATAAGATCCAAATAAACAAAAGATACCTCATGACCATGGATTGAAAGAATCAATACTGTTAAGATAGTTTTAATACTCCCTAAATTGGCCGAAACCGGTTTGGCTCAATGGATAGTGTCGGCTTGGGGACTGAAAGGTCCCGGGTTCGATTCCGGTCAAGGGCATGTACCTTGGTTGCGGGCACATCCCCAGTAGGGGGTGTGCAAGAGGCAGCTGATCCGATGACTTTCTCTCATCGATGTTTCTAACTCTCTATCTCTCTCCCTTCCTCTCTGTACAAAATCAATAAAATATATTAAAGTTTTAAGATCTTAAAAAAAATACTCCCTAAATTGATCTACAGATTCAACTGTAAATCAAAATCTCAGTAGACTTTTTACAGAAATGAACAAGATGGCCCTAAAATTTATATGGAAATGCAAGGAACTCAGAATAACAACAATCTTGAAAAGAATAAAATTGGTAGATTCACACTTCCTGATTTCAAAACTTCCTATAACGCAACAATTATCAAGACAATGTTATACTGGTGAAAGAACAGTTATTTAGATTAATGGAATAGAATTGAGAATCCAGGCCCTGGCCCAATAGCTCAGTTGGTTAGAGCAGCATTCGCCAACCTTTCGGTCCACGGACCACTGGTTTGTGACCGCTGGGTTAGAGTATTCTCCCGATATGCTAAGGTTGCAGGTTTGATCTCTGGTTAGGGCACATACAAGAAGCAACCAATGAATGCATAAGTAAGTGGAACAACAAATTGATGTTTCTCTTTTTCTCCCTTCCTCTCTCTAAAATCAATTAATAATAAGAGTCCAGAAAAAAATATTGTGTCTATGATCAACTGATTTTCAACAAGAGTGCCAAGACAATTCAATTGGTAAAGAGTTTTTATCAACAAATGGTGCTGGGGCAACAAAATAATGATTTTGAACCCCCACCTCACACCATACACAAAAAATTAACTGAAATGGACCATAAGTCTATAAGTAAGAGCTAAAACTATTAAATTCTTAAAACATAGGGAAAAATCTTTGTGACACTGGGTCAGGCAAGGGTTACTTAGATACAACCCCAAAGGCACAAGTGATTTTTTTATTTTTTTTTTTTTTATTTTTTATTTTTTTTTTTTAAATATATTTTATTGATTTTGTACAGATTGGAAGTGAGAGAGATAGAGAGTTAGAAACATCGATGAGAGAGAATCATCGATCAGCTGCCTCTTGCACACCCCCCACCGGGGATATGCCCGCAACCAAGGTACATGCCCTTGACCGGAATCGAACCCGGGTCCCCTCAAGTCCCCAAGCCGACGCTCTTTCCACTGAGCCAAACCGGTCTCGGCACAAGTGATTTTTTTATTTATGCACAAGTGATGTTTAAAAAAAAATTGGACTTCATCAAAAGTAATAACTTTTGTGCTTCAAGGACACCATTAAGTAAGTGAAAAAACAATCAACAGACTGGAAGAACATATTTGCCAATCAAATACCTGATAAGGGGCTTGTATACAAAGTATATCAAGAAGTCTTACAACTCAATAATAAAATAACCAATATCCACTTTAAAAACAGGCAAAGAATCTGTCTGTTCCCCATAAAAGATAAACAAATAGCCAATAAACACATGAAAAGATGTCCAAGATTAGTCACCAGAAAAACGCATCAAAAGTACAATGAGATATTACTTTACACTCACTAGTATGTATATAATCAAAGTCAGTTAATAAGTTCTGGCAAGGATGTGGAGAAATCAGATCTATCATACACTGTTGATGGAAATCTAAAACGTTGGAGGCAGTATGGAAACAGTCCTCAGGTCCCAGCAATTTTACTCTAGGCATATATCCAAGGGAAATAAAAACATGCAACCACACAAAAACCTGCACATGGGTTTTCATAGTAGCATTTTCATCATAGGCCAAAAAAGTAGAAACAACCCAAATGTCCATCAACTGATGAATAAATAAGATATACCCATATGGTATATCCATATCTATACAATGAATTATTCAGCAATAAAAAGGAATGAGGTAATGAGACATGGTACAATATGAAAGAACCATGAAACTATAAATTTTTTTTTTAAGTAAAAAAAAACACTCACAAAATGTCACACAACTATATAAAATGTTCAAAATAGGCAAATCTACAGACAGAAATTAAATTAGTGGTTGCCTAGGACTGAGTATGAGAGAGGGAGTGATGAAGAATGACTGCTGCCGAAACTGGTTTGGCTCAGTGGATAGAGCATCGGCCTGCAAACTGAAAGGTCCCAGGTTCGATTCCGGTCAAGGGCATGTACCTTGATTGCGGGCACATCCTCAGTACGGGGTGTGCAAGAGGCAGCTGATCGATGACTCTCTCTCATTGATGTTTTTAACTCTCTGTCCCTCTCTCTTCCTCTCTGTAAAAAAATCAATAAAATATATTTTTTTTTAAAAAGAAGAAATGGTAGTATCTAAGCAGGGAATAGATTGGAGAGTCACTGTTGACCCTTATGGTAGGAACCACATAGAACAGATTTATATATTTCAACAAGGGGCTTAGAACTCCTACTCATGAGAATCAGGGAGGAGCAAATGAAAATGGAAAAAAAGGGGTAAGATCAGCCCGGACCAGTTTGGCTCAATGGATAGAGCGTCGGCTTGGGGACTGAAGGGTCCCGGGTTCGATTCCGGTCAAGGGCAGGTACCTTGGTTGCGGGCATACCCCCAGTGGGGGGTGTGCAAGAGGCAGCTGATCGATGACTCTCTCTCATCGATGTTTCTAACTCTCTATCTCTCTCCCTTCCTCTCTGTATAAAATCAATAAAATATATTAAAAAAAAAAGGGGAGGGGGTAAGATCAGTGGGAAGAGAGTTATCATGGGGCTACCAATGTCTGGGCTATCATATTGCCTTCCAAAAAAAACTTTTCCCTGTTCTCCCCTCCCCCAAAGCACTCGTTTTTACTCTGCATGCCAGAGAATTAAACATATAGAATTTGCTGCTTATTATCATACAGACATACTTCCACAAGCCCAGAGTTCAGTAAAGCACAGTCATTGCTTGAGGAAAGAACTTAGGCTAGCATCATGAAAACAGTGATCCAACAAAGCAGAAAGCCTCCATTTACTAAGAATATAATGACAACTAGGTTCTCATATATTTTAATCATGCCCATGAGTACTCATCCATTTTAAGTCCGCCAACTGTGATATAATTATTAACCATTAAAAACAAGTTAGACCATCAACAAACTAGATTAACAACTTAGTTCATTACCAAATTGGGTCAGATTCAAATTTGTGCCACAGGTAAAAGATTTTATGTTGTCACATCCCTTAATTAAACTTGATGCAAAACAAAAATATTTTAAATCTTGCAACAAACAAAATACATTATAAATAACAAAAATCTAAAAATATTTGGGAAAAATGTTAAGATATTTAATGGAATTTGAACACTATAAGCTGTCACTAAAATAAAATAAAACACATTCCGTCTTTACTTTTGTTATCCGGACAAATTTTCACAATTGTATGATAATTTTTTTTAAAAAAAGCGTTCTTACTTTAGATAAGAGATTATGTAGTTCGTGTGGATGAAGCTTTACCACTTCTCCAAGTTGCTGTGCAGCAGCTTTTCTTGTAACTGGAGTAGTGCCAGTATCCAGTAAGATAAAAAGACGGTCAAGCCTAAAATGCCAAAAATACAATGGTTATTCTGAAATGTGTTTTCTCATATGTATGAGTTAATAAATGTACTGAGCATCTGTGAACAAAGTCCTATGCTAAGGCTGCAGGGGAATCTCTGCTCTGAAGCAACTTGCTATGGCAAGACAAATATGTAGAATATAGAATACAGTAAGATACATGTCAGAAAAAACATACAAAGTATATTAAAGAGTGGGGTCAGAGAAAACAAATACTATATCCCCAACTGTGTAATACTGAAAAGACTTCGTAAAAGAAATGGTATATGAGAAAGATTATAATGGTAGAAAATAAGATTTCAATACTGGTGGAGATGAGGCGGTAAAAGGGAAGGGGGAGAGACACCTGGAAGAAATAATATCACCACGGCAATAAGAAAAGGAAGACTATATTTAGAGAAGTGACTAATAGCTTGACTGTAAAATAACAGTGGGAGACATAAGTAGCTAGAGCTCTAATGTTGAGATCTTTGAATGTGTAGTTCAACCAGGAAGGTCTTGAATTAAGAAAACAATGAGACTGGAGCTATGTTTTAGAACGATGACTGGCAGCAGTTTGAAGCATGAAATAAAATGGAAGGAACCTTTTAGATAATTTAAGGCTAAAAGTGCAGACCTGAACTATAATCATGACAAGACTAAAAAGAGGTTGAGAGAAATGCTGAAGTAAAACACACATGGTATAGTAATTAAGTGAAATAAATGTTAAGGAAATAAAAAGATTCTGAGACTCTAGCCGAAACCGGTTTGGCTCAGTGGTAGAGCGTCGGTCTGCGGACTGAAGGGTCCCAGGTTCGATTCCGGTCAAGGGCAATGTACCTTGGTTGCGGGCACATCCCCGGTAGAGGGTGTGCAGGAGGCAGCTGGTTGATGATTCTCTCTCATTGACGTTTCTGGCTCTTTATCTCTCTCCCTTCTTCTCTGTAAAAAAATCAATAAAATATATTAAAAAAAAAAAAAAAAAGATTCTGAGACTCTAAATCTTAGAAAATGAAGATGTTGTTACAAGAAATGGGATGAACTAGTAAGGAAATGTTACAAGATGACAAGTTTACCTTGGCAGGCAGGCTCAATTGCTGGATCATTATCCTGTACACCCCCCAAAAATAATAGATGATGGGTTCAATTCCCTGTCAGAGCATATACCTAGGTTATGGGTGCATAGGAGGCAACCTATTGATGTCTCTCTCCTGCCCCCACCACTTTCCACCTTCCTCTCTCTTTAAAAATCAAACAAACATATCCTTAGACTGGATCCAGAGACATGGAAGCATGGAACAGAGTGCGGAATCTTGGAAGGAAGGAGGGGGAGAGGAGGTAAGGAGAGGTAATCAACCAAAGACCTTGTTTGCATATACGCATAAACCCATGGACACAGACAGTGGGGTGGTAAGGGGGGGGGGGGGTGTTCATGGGGGCGAAAAAGGGACATATGTAATACTTTCAACAATAAAGATTAAAAAAAGGTTTTTTAGAAAGTTAAATATATTAGATATAAAATAATTTTTAAAAATAAAGTATAGAGAGGCTCATCTTTTACTTCTGGGATTATTTTTCTTTTATAGAGAGCTAAAAAGTTACAAAGTTCTGAAAATCTTTCATAAAATAAACCTCAGGAGAGGGAGGGCAAATGAAATGGGCAGGGTTTTTCTTTTTTCTGTTAGTATTTCAAACTAGGCAGTCACTAACAAGTACAAAATCATTATAACTGGTAAGAAATATATAACTAAAATAGGTCTTTTCCTGTCAAGAAGTCTAGGAGTACTATGAAAACTTTTCAACTGCTTCAGAACAACACTAAGAGGCAAGGTTCAAATTTTATAGTTAAGGATATGTAAGAAGGACAGATATCAAGAAAAATATTTGAGATAATTTAAGCCATAACATAAAGAAGAAAAAAAAAGAGTAATACGGCACAGTTTTTGTTCCCTATATATTGAATGGCACACTGAATGATTATAAAGAAATTTTTATAGGACGTGCAAAAATTAACTTTATACAGAATGTCCCATCTTATTCATTCAATGCTATTTATATTTATCTTTACCCATTTATCAGTTTTTACTACAGGATTTAGTGAAGAGTGACTCAGGGAGATAGTGGAACAAAAGAATATGAAAATTTTTTTCCTGATAGTTGGTGTTCTTAAAAAATTTAAGACTATGTTGGACTCCAAACCCCATCCCCAGAAAGTGATTTCTCCCATACATCCAATAACTCTCAGAATCCCCTTTATTTTCTTTCATCTTTAAAAGTGGTTATAATGATAAAGTTTATAAGAACCCTCTCTGAACCAACAAATAATCTGCACATTGCCATAATATGATTTTTAAATGTCTATGCTCATTGGAAAGAAGTGTGTGAAAAGATTACAACTTCAAGACAAATATTCATTTATTGTTTATTTTTAAATATATTTTTTTATTTTAGAGAGGAAGGGAGAGGGAGAGATAGAAACATTAATGATGAGAATCATTAATTGGCTGCTTCCTGCATGCTCCCTATTAGGGATCGAGCCTGCAACCCAGGCATGTGCCCTTGACAGGAATCAAACCTGGGGCCCTCCAGTCTGCAGCCCAACGCTCTATTCCACTAAGCCAAACCGGCTAGGCCAGACAAATACTCATTTACTATTCATTTGCCTGCTATATTCTATGGCAAGCAAAATTATCAAAAATTAAATGTTTTATTATAAAAAATATATTAGTCTTAGATCAAATTTTGCTACAATGGACTTATAATTGTACTAGAGGGCGCAGTGCACAGATACATGACCAGTGGGTCCCTTGGCCTGGCCTGTGCCCTCTCACAATCCGGGAAACCTCGGGGAAGGTTGGACTGCCAGTTTTGACCCAATCCATAGTTTTGCACCCCCTCACACACTTATCCTCTCTCTTAGTATCTTGTACCAATGCTTAAAAATGACCTCTTTTATTTCCTCCTCATACAATTTAATTTTTATCAGTCACATTTCTACTCCTTCTCTACTACTGAAATAGCACACCTGAAAGTCATCAATGAACTTGTAATATTCAAATCCAATTTTTTTTTATAAATCCAATTTTCTTGACTCTTCTGACATTTGAAATTAGCAAATACTTCTTACTTTCTTTTCTAAATATTCATATTTTACTACCCTGTTCTTCTTTGAACTCAATTCCTTCCTCAGTTTCCCTATTCTTAACACATTTAATATGAACATTCTCCCAGATTCCATCCATGGCTGCTCATCTTTCACCAGTTTCTCCCTTAGGAAACTATATTATTTAAGATTATAACACAATACAAATAGTCCCTAACTCTGGCCCATCTGGAAGCTCTAGTGCCACTTTCACCTGCCTGGTAAGCATAATTCCATACTGATGTGACATTATTTGCCAGATTTACTTCCTAAAGAAACCTTTGGTCAAATCACTACCTTATTCTAAACATTTTAATGGCTCATCCTTGCCTATTAGATAGCAATCAAAAACAAAAAAGTCTCTCCCAAATATAGACCTTTTTGGTGTTCATAACTTTGTCTATACTGTTTTTTCCACTTAGAATGCCTTTTTTTTTTTTGTTCCAATTCTTCAACTAACTCCCATCCATCAAGATTTAAAGTTGTGCCCTACCTCGTTTGACTTCCCCAGTAGGAGGCATGCAGGAGGCAGCAGATCATCATTGATGTTTCTCATTCTCTCTCCCTCTCCCTTCCTCTCTGACATCACTAACAAATATATATATATATTTTTTTTTTTAAATGTCCCTCCTAATAAAATATTTTATGTATGGAAGCAGTTCAGAAACTATTGGTCATTTATTCCTCTGTATCTCTCTCAGTTATGTTTACCCTTTTGAAACCATTTCAAATTACTAAACCATAGAGATTACTTCCTCTTCTGAAATCCGCATGAATTATCATCTTAAATGGCCATTTTGGTACTTATTATGCTTTGCTTTGTGGTATCTCTTACATTGAGTTGTCACATGATATCTTATGCTCATTGGGCTTCACCTCCTTTGATGATTCATTTTACCCTCCTCCACCATAATACTTTGCACAGTGTCTTGCACAGTATTTAAATATAGCTGAGTAGTTGATGTTTATTGTAATTAAAATTATAAAGAAAAGTTCAAATTTCTTGGGAACAAATTTAGGCATCATTTTTAAGCAAAAAAAGAGTATGCTATATTAATTTTATTTTTGTTTCCTTTGAGGAATAACCTTAATTTACAACAGATGTATTATATAAAAACAAATTATAAAAATAATGGAACTGATGGTAAGATAATACTTCAGTTAATGTAGAGATTAGCATAACAGTACTTCAGCATTCTGAACATCAAGGCAGTATGTCTGGTCCAAACAGCAAGTTGAAAAAGACCATGCAGTAGGCACTATATTCCTTCAATAATTTCCATCCTTCCTAAACTTTCCTTTAGCCCCCTGCTATCTAGCTTCATCAGAACCACAAGCTGCCCAAAGACCAACTCTTTAACTTAATGCTGATCTGTCTCAGCCACAGTTACTCCTGCCTCTCTTTTCTGCAAAGCCTTTTATCCCACTACCATGTCATGTCACCTGTGCTCCTCCACTAGCCAACTGCTCTGAGAGTAGCAGATCAGCTCACTCTCTCATCCAGTTCCAGGACTGTTTATTCTCACATATTCTACCTGGTGGTAAATAAACGTCTCCCTGAACAGAGGAATGGAGACACAAGATGCTCCCTTGGTCCTCTTGACTCAGTCTCTTTTGGAGTTCTCCATTCCTCTCTCCAGGGCAGCAGATTAGACACTTCATAAAGCAGAACAAAGAGATGCAGACCAGGAGGTGACAAGAGGGCAGTCTGATCTGTTACCCCTTGTAGTTGGTAGACAGCTATAAGGCAAGCAGGGTAAGCATCAGGGCCAGGCCACAAAGGAAAAGACTGGTACAGTGAACTGATGGGAGAGGGGCAAGGGCTCGAGACAGGGTCAATAATATGTCGGAAGGCAGACAGG